GTATTGAGCTGAAAGCTTTGACAGAAGAATTATTTTCAGAGGAATTTGGTGAATTCTTGTTTCTTGGTTAAATTATAACATGCTCTTTATTTGAAAATATTATAGGTACAAATAAAAAAAAACATTTGAAAAGAAAATGTGTGGCTACCTTTTTTCATAGCCCACATTCCTTGATTTAAATTATAGTTGGAACCCCAAGAAAACAATTAAATAATTTCACATTTTTTTTTCACCCTTAAGTTTAAGTTAATGTACCTAAATCTCCCAAAGAATTGTAATCTGCAAAAAAAAAAATTTAATAACATTCTAAATATTGGTCAACAATATTTTACTCACTTTGAGTGCTTTACCTGTGCCCTGATTATCAACTGTTTTGTTTCCTTGAGTTTCTTTATTTCCTAAATATAATAATAATACAGTTTAAATAATTGTATACTAACTAGGTTTTTACAGGGCCCTTTGAGCCTTCTTTCCTTTCACCAATTTTAGCTTGGAACTCTAAAAGTCTCCATCTTTAATTATTTTAAAATTTTCACCGTTTTTTTTAAATAATGAACTTTTAAGGCTAATTTTTCAACTTGGGTCATGGAGTTGCCTCAAAAATATTGTGCTTAATTGGTTCAGCCATTTTTATGCTTAGCGAATACAAATCACCTAGAGAGAAAAGCACAGTGTATATATAGATTACCTAGTAAGCCAGATCCAGTGATAGGGATTTTACCATTCAATATATTTATCTGTTGTCCAGTTATTGTGTCCATAAAATCAATGCTAACTTCTCCCTTGGTCTCATTGTAATGTATTGTAAATGCTCCTGTCTGGTTTACAGTGATATTTGTAGAGAATTTTAAGATGTTTGGAGCATAGACATTCAGTTTGTACTGTCCAAGGGTAATAGAACTGGAAACATTCAAGCCCATTGCCTGTAAAATGAAGTTTCTAGTTTTTTATGTATGATATTACAATTCTTTTAATTTCACATCAAATCAAATCATATTCATCAAACTAATGCAGCTGAAGACTTTAAAGCTTTTTTCCTTGTAAACAAAACAAAAAAATATTTTTATTAAGAAACTTAACACATTCTAATTTATATTTCTTTAAGGCTTCATTTAACAACAACAACACCTAGTTGTTTCAACATAGAAAACAAATCATCTTACTACGCTCAAATATTTCATATCCAGAGAAATCAAGATTTTTTTAACAGGAAAATTGAACTTATTCCAACTTTGAACAGTTTTTATAATGGGTCCAATAAATAGATATCTTTTCAAAAAGTCATTTACTAACTGTATTCTTGTTTTGAACTATTGAAAATGTATTCAATTAACCTTGGTGACATATTTGTTGGCAAGTGTGATATTGTAGACCTCCAAGGGAACTTGCTGACCTAGCTTGGTCCAGTTCAGGTGAAGAGAAATATTTGCAAGATCTCCTGTAAATATTTATTTAAAACTTATATCAGGATTTATTTTCATCCAACATTTCCTTAAAAAAACTTAATCGTTTTAGCATTTTCTTCAAATTTAAACAAATCGAGTAACTTTTCTGGAACATTACGAACCTGTCACACATTTTGCCTCTTTGATGTTTTGAATGAATTTTAACAAATAACCATTTAAACAGTCTTCATCCAGAATATTTAACCTGAATATTATAAAAATAGATAGGAAAAGTATTCAAGAAAATTAAATTTGGAAAATAAACACCCGTTTAGACAATTTTACAGGAGAATATTTTTGTGGATAATCATCCAGCATATGTTGGGCAATCAATTTTCAAAATCAAACTCCCTTTAGTTAAAATCACATTTTTTTACTGTAGGAATTTGTAGTTTCCAATTTAATTTTGATCAATTTGTTTCCTTAAAGTCCCTGCAGAAATTTTTCTTAAACCATAACAAGTTTTCAGAGATTAAGGACGGAATCTTTCTTAACCGATTTACAAGTATAATTACACCCTTAATACAACACAGAGCTTTTTAGTTTTAACATGCTCAAAACATTTTATGCGACGATTATTCTGGATCAATTCCATCTTGAATACATATACAAAAACCTTTTTTCAGCATGTCACTCTTAGCTTTGTATAGCATCTAGAGAGTAGATTTATTCTTATTAAGGTTACGACAGATTCCGCCTGTAATTTCGAAATTGATCCAGAAGAAATTGTATTTGTATGTCTAGAGCTCTTGTCAAATTCACACATCAAATGTGTAGGTTATACCTGGTTTGCAACAGATTTTGGATTGCTGAAACCATTTCAGAATCAGATTCAGGGTTGGACGAAGATACCACCTGATAGACACACCCTAATGCAAAAAGAATTTAAATTGCGTCGCTGAATCACCAAAAACCTGTTCCAATTGGCACCAACCATGTTTGACCTACATTTCAAATTTGAGACAGGGCGCGAATTCTTTAAATTTGGCCCGAAGAAAGTTGTTTTTAAAGATGTTAGAATTAAAAATAAAGATGTTTCCTTGCTTGAATTTCATTATAACTGTCAAAACTAATTTAAACCCTGTAAAAGCTGGGGGATCTGAATCTTTGTATAGCCCCTGGGGGGGGGAGGGGTGGTGTCCCAAGTATGCCTTGAAAGTAAAAAAAATGTCAAGGGGATAGCGTTAAAAGGTTCTATGCTATTCATTAAATCTTTAAAAAAACGTATTATAAAAAACTATTACATACCCAGTGTAAACAGGGACATAAAAAATAAAGGCTTCTCCATTACACTCGTTTGTAAATGTAAAGCTGGTTTACTTGAAATAATACGCCAATGTTTACTTTATAATTTCTTTAAATAAACTAAATTTAATATATATTTATATAATTTAAATATAAACTATATACAAATGTGGCAAAAGATAATCGATGACTATAGGTTGTAATATCTGAATGATTTGTTTGAAATTAAATGGATTTTTTTACAATCTAAGTCGTATGTCGCAATTTTCTGAATTTGTATGGACGGTAAGTTATTCGGTATGAGATGTCTTTAACAAGTTTCTCCTTATAGACGCAACAGATAGAAGTAAGATTATTAGCGATCAAAAGCGCTTTTTTATCGCATTAAGTTTATACCCCCTTTCATTTTTTGCGAACACTCCCTTTAAGTGTATATGTAATATGTATTAAGTAATATTTAAATTTTGTTGGCAATTCCTTTGAAGGTGGTTTTTTCTCAGTGTTGTCTACACTTGCTACTGTCCCACTGCCTCTTTATGTTTTCCAACATGTGGATTTATAATCAAATAAATGCCATGATGTAGGCTGTAAAAAAGACTACAAATGTTATATTTTGATTTTTATGAGTAAAATATATTAATCAAAATAAAAATTATAAAAAAGTATAAATTAAAACTATTAACTGCTGAATATCTAAAAAGATAATAATGATAATGTTTTTTTAATGGGTGAGAGGTGAAATATTAACTATATATTAGCAAATTAATGTCATGTATGTACATAATCTGTGCGTATCTTGGGCTGGGAAACGTTTATAAATGTTTTCTTAGAATTTATTAAAAAAAGAATTTCTAATAAACAGACCATTAATGAAAAAATCAAAATTTTAAAAATGTGTGCATTTTAAGCTTTTGGCACCCGCTAAGACACATCAAATTCTTCAGAATTAAACAAATTCGATCATCTGATATAAAAAGAAAATTTTTTTTTAATAATTCTTTAAACATATAACAAGGAGCACATTGGATACGGTCTTGTTAATTGTTTTGATTTGTTTTTAGACAAATTTTAATATAACTTCATAAATTTGAAAACACATATTCAGTTAAATTCAGCAAATATAGCAACTTAAAGCACATAACTAATTGGATAGACAGAAAATCTCTTATATCAACCATTAAAAACTAAATCCTCTTAGTCTACTAGAAATAAAATAATGCTCATTGAAAATTTTAAGTTTATTCTGTTTCAACAACATAAGGTTGTTAGCAATTGTGAGGTATTCTGTTGATGCTGTTTAAATCTAAATCTAATTTATTTCATCAAAAATATTAAATACTAATTACAAAGTTGCAAATGATACAGTTGCAAATTAGAAGCAACATTTAAAAAATCTAAAATACCGTCATTTTTCTGTTTTTCCATATTTCAAAAATTGTTTTATTTAAGGCTGAAAAACAATAAAATACTATAAAACCAGTATCTTTTGTTAATAATTTGTTTTAAAAACCGGTTTTTTGGCTAATAATTTGTTTTATTTTTTAAGGGATTTTTAAAAAATATATGTTTCTGAACTCAGTGTTTCAAGACAAATACCCTTGACGAAATTTTTTCTTGCTTAGATTAGTTATTTGGTTAATACAAAAAAGCAAAAATTTGAATAAGCTTAAAAACTATAAAAAAAACTCTCAAATCTTTTTTGAAATATATCAAAGAAAACTTTAGAACTGGTGCAGGGGGGATTTGAGCATTTTTATCAAAAACGGATAAACTATTGTAACCAGATCCAGGTTCAGCATGGAAATCTCTTAAGATTTTATGAATATAGGTCCTCATAGATATGTCGTTCTACCTCCCGAACCCTGACCTGGTTGATCTGCATTCAGCAACCCTTTAATATCTACTAACCTCGTCAGTATCAGTATTTTGTATCAAACCATTTTATTATTTTAGTTTAAACAATAACCATATGTTGAAAAGTCATTGTTATTATTCTTTATTGAGAGCATCATTTTATTCCTGTCTTAGTTATGGCTATGTGAATCTAGTGTTCAAGTCCAAACTTCTTGTGGCAGCTCATATGTCCGTCAAAATAAAAACATTCTATAATGTATAATGTAAATTTTGTGGAATTTTCAGTTATATAATGTACAAAGCAAGTACAAAGTGTACTATGTGATGATAGAAATTATCTATTAAGTTTACTTAATGCAAACTATAAGCAAACATAATTTATTTAAAATCAATTCACACTGTTTACTCTTTAAGATGAAAAGGTTGTTCTAGAAATATGCAAAATGAATAGATAAGAGGACTAATTATCTTGTCAGTTAAAACCTCCGAGTTATCTAATTAACATGGAATATTATTTTTCAATTGTCTTTTTTGCCATTATTGTCTCCACCGTAAGTCAGGTACAAAGGAATTGAGTCTTTGCCACAAACTCAAATTTTATAATGTCTATATCTTTGCAATATGATGGTGCAAACTTCTATATTTCAAACTTAGACTATTTGATCTAACAGAATTATTAGTTTGAAATTTCAAATGGGTACGACATTGGGCTGCAAAGATGTTTTTGAATTGAAAGAATCAGGAAATTCCAGGATAATTTTAGACAAAATAAAAAATGGAATCTGGATTTTTTTCCGGAACAGTTTTACATGGAATGTTTTTTCCAAGAGTTATTCCGTAACGTTTTGGAATGCAAAAAAAAATTCCGAATACTTCTGTGTGTAAACTGTAAACTGGAACTACGGTTGAAAACCCTAGTACAAATATAAATATTAATATAACTAGAAAGCAATAATTAGACCAGTCTCAGTTTTACATTTTATTAATCCAAATTTTTCGGATCTCTCGATCCTCATCAGTCAATAAAGATGTTTAAACTCATATATAAAGTTATAAAAAAAATATAAATATAATTGTAAATAAATAGTTTTAGTTCAAAGAAAAATAGTCTATTTCTGCATTTAATATCTTTAATTAACGTTTCTTTATTTAGTTTTTTAACTTTTAAATTGGTTCTTAGACATATTCATTTTTTACATCAAAATTTCCAAATTTTTCAGTATACACAAAATATGATTAATGGATACATTTTGAGGAATTCTAGGATAATTAATTTAGTATTTACACATATCACTGCGAGAGATAGTGATAATAGAATGCATTTGTTAAACCAAACTAGTTTAGGAGAAACCTGAATGCAAATCAGATTGTGAGATCGAACTTCCGTTCATGGTAAAAACATGTGCTTCTGTTTGTTATGCTTCTCCTGAAGACACTTCCTGTATTTGTACCCAGGTATTTTTACTGATCAGTTTATATTTTGAAATTATTTTTATGAGAACCACAAGATTTATTATATTCCCAAGGGTTTCTTTCTTGTAGTTGACAAAATTCATGTTTCTTTTTTTTTAAATCGGTCCTTCCTCGTTCTAGAACAAAGGTATTTAGCTGGATTTTTCCTTCCTCGCTCTAGAACAAAGATCTTTAGCTGGATTGTTCCTTTCTCGCTCTAGAACAAAGGTCTTTATCTGGATTGTTCCTTCCCCGGTCTAGAACAAAGGTCTTTAGCTGGATTGTTCCTTCCTCGCTCTAGAACAAAGGTCTTTAGCTGGATTTTTCCTTCCTCGTTCTAGAACAAAGGCCTTCAGCTGGATTGTTCCTTCCTCGCTCTAGAACAAAGGCCTTTAGCTGGATGTTTCTTCCTCGCTCTAGAACAAAGGCCTTCAGCTGGATGTTCCTTCCCCGTTCTAGAACAAAGGTCTTTAGCTGGATTGTTCCTTTCTCTCTCTAGAACAAAGGTCTTCAGCTGGATTGTTCCTTCCTCGCTCTAGAACAAAGGCCTTCAGCTGGATTGTTCCTTCCTCGCTCTAGAACAAAGGCCTTCAGCTGGATGTTTCTTCCTCGCTCTAGAACAAAGCCTTCAGCTGGATTGTTTCTTCCTCGCTCTAGAACAAAGGTCTTCAGCTGGATTGTTCCTTCCTCGCTCTAGAACAAAGGCCTTTAGCTGGATGTTCCTTCATCGCTCTAGAACAAAGGCCTTCAGCTGGATTGTTCCTTCCTCACTCTAGAACAAAGGCCTTCAGGTGGATTGTTCCTTCCTCGTTCTAGAACAAAGGCCTTCAGCTGGATTGTTCCTTCCTCGCTCTAGAACAAAGGCCTTTAGCTTGATGTTCCTTCCTCGTTCTAGAGCAAAGGCCTTTAGCTGGATTGTTCCTTCCTCGTTCTGGAACAAAAGGTCTTTAGATGGATTGTTCCTTCCTTGTTCTAGAACAAAGGCCTTTAGCTGGATTGTTCCTTCCTTGCTCTAGAACAAAGGTCTTTAGCTGGATTGTTCCTTCCTTGCTCTAGAACAAAGGCCTTCAGCTGGATTGTTCCTTCCTCGTTCGTCCTTTTTCCAATTATTCCATCCGGCCCTGTTACATTCCGTTCCGTTATTTGTGTTCTGAAAGGGACTGACCGGCAATGGATGGTAGTTGAACTGAGATTGTAGTATTATTGAGAAATTTTTTAAGGTCCATTTGAGACCTATCAGACGTTTTTACGGTGCATGTTTGTTTGTATTAGCTTCTTACGATGATTTACTTGGAATATAACCAAGTACCTGTTGAGTTATCCTTTTCGCTAAAACGTTTGCAATTTAGGAAGGCGGGAGTTCTGCTGAGTGTATCACTCCTAAGGGCGAACCATGCCCGGATGTTGAAGACCCTAAAGATTTAACAAGTCAAACGGGATGTGATCAAATGTGGAAAGACTATGTGAATGCACCCCATGATGAATCTGAAGCATATACCTATTCTATGCATTATGTTAGTATTATCTAATCTATTATTTATTTATAATTATTAAAAACAACATGATATAATAATTATTTTCTTAGAACCCTGTGAATGGTTCTTCAGTATATACATGCAGATTTCTCAATGCATGTAATGCAATGCGAGATGCATCATCAGCGGACACAATTAATGGCCGTAGAAGATGTGGTAATAATAAATTAAAACTACTATACAGGGAAGTTAAAGGAATTTTACTGAACCAGTGTCCGAATTTAATGAATTTGAGCCGCGTCTTAAATCCGCTAAAACCCGGTTTCAATTAAGCGCCGGTTTAAATCTTGAAACATTGAATACAATTTTAAGTGGAACCAACCATATTTAAGCCGCGGCTCAAATTCTTTAAATTCGGCCTCGGGGGTTCCCAAAACTAATTTTGCCTAAAAAACATCCAGGCCAAAGGTCCAGGGATCCTATAATTAAGTAACATAAAGTTTTTATTTGATCTGGTTCAATACATCTTGTAATATCTTTATGAATTATCTTATTTAATTTTTTTCAGAAAAAAATCCAACTTTTCGCCTGAAAAAATCTTCAATTGATTGTTGCCATTGAAAAATGCGTTTTTGGTCACAGAATAAAAATTGTTCTAAGTCAAATTTAGAGCGATCTATATGGCCCGCACTACACCAAAAATTACCAAAGTATTGAGATATCTGAATAAAACTAAGAAAAAAACATGATCAAATAAATCCTTTATGTATCTAGCTAAATAAACTTTGTTTACATTTACCAATAATGTTTTATGCATAAGCTAAAACAAATGTCGTCAGTTATGGTAATCAAAACTATATGAACGCCTGCAGACTACTTGGACTCAAATTTGCGATTTTCCCCCCTGCAAATATCTGAACAAAGACAGTAAAAAGGGGTAGCAGAGCCTTTTTTCAATTGTCGGTTTTAAATAACCCTTTTTAAAGAAATTTTAATAAAAACGTCGAGGAAATTTTCACATTTTACTCCAAAACCCTGGGAGCAACTTCAAAATCCTTGGAGCACTCCATAAACCCTGTAAGCAGCCACCCCTCCCTCCGTCAAGTAACAACAGGAGGGCCGGTATAATGTTAGTCAAAAATCTTTTGTAAAACTCAACTTTAATCTTATTTATTACAGATACAGAGGAGGTAAAAGTTTGTGAAATGCTTAAACATGAAGATTTTCCTTTGCCCATACAATTTACTGTTTGCACACATAATACAAATCCTTATGAAACCAAAGCTTTGGAAGGAACAGTCTGTTACCCAGATATAGAGTAAGTAAATAGATCTTCTCTAAAATGTGAACAAAGTTTTCCGATGGAAAGCTGTTACATAGATTGTGTGGATTATCATATATCATAATATCTTAATCTTAATCTCGATATCCTATGTGGACACTTTTGAACTTGAAGATAAATACTTAAATCCCTAAATTAAAGTTATCCCTGAGCCCCCCNGTAACAAAATTTACAACACAAAATATCGATTTCTGGACATATTCGTGCTCTTAAAAATGCCTAACAGCTCTCGTCGAAATTGGAAAATTTGGCCGACAGCGGTGCCGCTGAATCTCTTCTACTATTTTTTTAGATGTAACGCTCCCAGTATCAGAAAGGATGACACGGTTACTTGCACCTCCAGTAAAGATGCGTCAGGAAATGATGTATTTGTCTGGTATTATGATAGTAAAGATGGCTCTAACAGGTAGAGATGGGAATCGGTTTTTTGAACGAACGAAATTTTAGAGAAAAACTAAATTTTTCCGGGAAAAGGGTGTCGTTCAGATAAAAACGAACGATGGACGAACAAAATGGCTCGTTCAGAGAAATGAAAAAATTTCGTTTTTTAAAACCGAACAAAAAAACCGAACTATGTAAAATCTTTCGATCGAACTTGAAAAAAATAGGTTTTTTTTTACTGAACGAAAGAATTTTTCAACAGGAACGAAATGGGTCGTTTAAACGAAAAAACAATACCTATCTCTACTAACAGGGATGAGAATATACTTGGTGATATAAACTGCACCGCTGGTCCGAAACTACGGATAGCAAAGCAATCAGGCAAATATTTTTTTGCATTCAATTTAGATTTAAAAGGACTGTATGCGTAATTTTAAGTGGCCTTCCATGCAAAATTCACAACGGTACTCTTTAAACTTTTGACCGAGCAAGGATTTCAGGGATATCCTATTAGCTGTTGTATATTTAAGAAACATCATTAGTTACTTTCTAGAAGTTTAAAGGGGAACCGTTTTAAATCGGACATTCAGAGCTTGGAACTTATGTGTTGGATAATGCTCATATTTATATTCCCGATAGCTTAATCTCGATATCCACTATGGGCACATTTAATTTGAGGATCTATTAAACTATATAAAGAGATTTAATTCATCTTCAGATTAACAAAAAATTGAGATCAAGCATTAATCTCGATATGCACAATACAAGAGTTCCCAGCTCAGAAGTAAACGCATCTTTTCACTCTTAATTAGTTTTCTGTTGCGAGAAATGAGTTTATTAATGAGATGTAGATAATTTGTCTTTCATACAATTTTTTAATAAGTTTCAAAGAACTATTGTCCTAATACTTAACAATGTCAAATTTAAAATGGTACCCTTGAAACCTTTATCTGATAAAAAATGTGGATAATATTTTCCTTTTCAGGTTTTTAAGTGTTCAATTCTATTATTTTCTATAGCGTTCCTGCAGTAACTTTGCGCCAGTCACTTTTGAAGAGAAACCACAATTGAAAATAATGAATTTTCAAGAAAATAAAAATTGATATCTAATTCCTACTGGATCAGACAAAGCTTGTAAAATGTACCGTTGTGAATCGGGCATTGCCATCTTTGAAATTTAAAATTTAGGAACACGTTTATCCTGCCTGAATCCTGTAGAGGCCACTGCCCCTGATGGAGATGGGAAACTGTTCTATGTACTTGATCAGCCCAACTCCTGTGTATTTCTCTGTGATGGTATTTACATAGCAACCCTGGTGTTTGAGGTCAGGAATGGTCAAGCAGGTTGGTGGGCTGAAACAGACGGGGGTAATGCTGAACTGGTGGAAGGATGTCTTCAATGCTGGCCTGGCTACTGTTAGTTCAACAAATACTAGGGTTTCCAATCGGAATTCCAACCAACTGTTCTTAATTTGCGCGGAATTGTGTGGAATGGCGCGGAGTATACAGATCTCACAATTGCGCGCACTTGCGTTGGAAACCCAAACACATACTAATGGGCTATTAATTTATTTGACTTCTCTGTGTGTTTGTTTGTATCCAATAAACGTGCTAACAGCTGAACCGATCTGGCCTTCACTTCCAAAAAGGAACTACGATTTTGCCGCAAACTATTCTCTAATGGCTTGAACCTTTGATATTTCAAACTTAACATAACAGAAATTAAAAATTTACGACATCTGGTTGCAAAATGCAAAGCTATAGAGATTCAAAAATCCAAGTTTGAGGCAAAAATATTTTCTTAAATATTTAAATATCCAGTATCCGCCATAATAGAAATAGAGAAATCCTCGAAAATATTCATTGTTTTTTAATACTTTTAAAATGTACAAAGAAGAATTTTTTGCAGATAGATAAATAAGCAACATTTAAATCAGAAATTAATAATAAAGCTTTAAAAAATCTTAATCAAACTTTTCTGGGCAATGACTTGTGCATTTCTAGTACAGGAAAACATATTTAACGCTTTTAAAACTAGAAAAACGAAGATATTTTCCACATCACGTTGCCATCCTTTGAAATTATAATGTATTATTCTTAATTATCTTATTAAGTAATACATTTTGGTGGAATAGATAACAATCCTATATAAAATATAACTATTTCATATTGGATATGTTTTAATGTAAGACAAACTAAGATTATAAAACCTCAAGTGAGTGAAAACGAAAGTTGGTCCGTACTCCTGATACTACAATGTGAGAAATAAAATAATTTCTGGTGGTTTTTATAACTCAGTAAAATTCCAGTCAAATAATCCACTCAAACAATTTAAAAATCAACAAAAACTAAAGAATTTATATATTTCAGAAATAACATTTTCAATCTGACAAATGGGAATTATTTTACAGCAAGAGGGAAAAAAATAATACATAAAGTCATAAATAACTTTTTCAATATTTTCAATTAAATCTTTTTCCTATAAATCAGACGGGATCTATTTCGGAACATGAATGTTCAATATCGTGAATAAAGAATTTGAGTCTTTGTCACAAAGGAATTGAGTCTTTGGAACAAAATCAAATATTTAAACCTCAATATCTTTAGAACTCGATGTTGTAAACCTTTGATATTTCAAACTCAGATTATTTGATCTAACAGAATTCATAGTTTGAAATATCTAAGGCCTGCAACATTCGGTTCCAAAGATATAGTGATTAGAAAATCAGAGTGTGTTGCAAAGACTCAATTCCTTTTCAATCTTTATATCTTTCGATCTGAATCTGATTTGTTTGAAAGGTCAAAGGTCTATGATTTAGGGATTAGAACATCAAAGTTTGTGACAAAGACTCAGTTCCTCTCAAGGGGAAGACAACAAATTAAAAAAAATAGTTTTACTTGCTCATATTGCAGTGGATATTAGTTCCAAAACTAACACTTAGTGTTCTTACAATTTAGATTTAACTAGAAATGCGGGAAACTGTGTGTTTTAAAGCTTGAAAATAAATCATCGATATTCTCTAATTTAACAGATAAAATGTGGAAACTTAGATTCTAGAAATAATTCATAAGTTAATTTAGTTTTCATAAGATAACTTTTGTTTTCTATTTTGTAAGTTATGAAAGTGAGTTTTTTTTTTAAAATTGTGGATTATACTCAAAAACGGGAAAGTGGGTTTGGTCTCAAAAATGCGACAATGTTTCAAATTAAGGATATGATCGAAAAAATGAAAAACCTACCATTGTCTTGAAAACGGTCAAGAGCTTTAATATAAAAAGAACTCCTATTTTAATTTTGATTTAAAAAAAGATTAAAATTGGGAATTTTTGTCCGATCGTCATGTTTAATAAAATGTTGGTTATAGTTTTTACTATGGAATTTTACTCTGGATTATAGACCGGGATCCTAAAAACCCAGTCTTTCAACTTGTGCCCATTTCTAACACTCAGTGTTAGAAATGGGCCAAGTGTTAGTTTTGGAACTAATGTCCCCTGTATTGGCAAGGGGAATAAATCAATAAAAGCATTTTTGGTACTAACAGCGATAGAGAGGACTGTCATACAGGAGCCCCAATAAAACAGAGAATTTGGTGAAAAAATTCAATTCTTGTTAAGGTTAATAAATAAAATAATGTAGACTTCTGAGTTGTCTTTAACTATCATTATATGATATAAATGATTCTTTTTTATGATATATGTTGGATAATTTTTTTGACTTTATTCTAAAGCATCTTTGTAACGTAACTAGTTTTGTTTTTGTACAAATCAGCCTGGCATTATTTTAGTAACAATAACAATCATTAGCGTTTTAAAAGTATAATTTGAATTAAATCAATATTTCTTGAATTAAAGATAATTTCTAATTCTAAAATAATTAATTGCTTCATTTCATATGAGCAGTTTTATACATAATTTTTTAAATTTCATAATTTTCTTAAGGAATATTTCGAACAAAAATTAAAGCATGATCAAAATAACATTTGGTACTAATTTTAATTCTACACTAAAATGTTAAGGTTGCTTTTTACAATTTGTCCATCTTGAAACAAACTGTATGTGGAGACATATTGAATCAAAACTCCAAAATACTCGTTAATTTTCGAGAACACTTTCTTTAATACACAGGGTTACCCACAATTGTACAGAATTATGCTGTCAATTTACTCATATTTATTTACTCATATGTATTACTCCCTGCAACCGTAAACTAGTTTCTTTTTTCTAGTCTTATCATTGAATACGTCATAAAAAGATTATATTTAAGGCAGTAGGCTTAATTTAACCTCGGAATGGTCAAATTTGAAGAGTTTCAGGTCGTCTTCACAGTCTCATCCTTTGTGGGTAACCCTGTATGATATTGGCAGCTAATGTGAAAGTTTCAACTAATAATCTAAATCCTAAAAAGATAAGGGGGAACTGTCAAGAAAATTTGTGACAAATTTTAATCAATTATGATATCTCAGAATTTTACTTTCAGAAAAAGGATGCATCTCTTTTTGTAGTTGCCATTTTCATTTTGAATTTACTTTTAAAGACCAGCATAATAAATATCAAATACTTACATTGTACATACTAGAATTATAACAATAACAAAGTTGACTGAAGCATGGAAAAATTGCGGTCTTCGTTTTTTTTAAACAAAGAATAATCAGAGCAAGATAAACTAAAGAAAACCCATAACAACATTGAACAATGAAGGAAAAAACACAGAAGACGATAATTTCACTGTTTTCTTGTAACCACTGTAGTGTATAGTCTAAAGAATCAGTAAAAGCCATCCAGGCAAGTCTTTCAGAAATATTCATTGTACACTGTACAGTATACAGGGTTGACGTACAGTTTTAGAGGGAAAACATAAAATAAGCCATACTTATTTATTAAAAATATTACACATAAAAGATGTTAAAAAATTAGGCTGATTTACATTTTACAGATTTTTCGGATGTTATACAAAAAAATATGGATATAAATTAAAAGAGAGTTAAGTACTTTAACTTCAAATTTTATTTTGAAGGAAGCCATATTGGCATTTTAAACCTTGAAAACATCAGAAATTGGAACCTCGCATTTTGTATAAAATGCCCAATCCATCAAATCATAGAATTAATCATAAGGCGTTTGAAACATAGTACGGTTAATATCAAATTATATAATTAATTAACAGTTTGAACGATAAAACTCTATATAATGCGACCAAAATTAGCTTTTTTGCTTTTTTAGTAACCTTGAATGCCTTAAATAATACTTTGTAGTCAACTAGGTCTCGTTCAAAGTCAGAAAAGAGTTTTCATTTTCTAACAAAATCTTTTGTTGTTCTTATTTTAGCAAAACGGCAGTGCGAATTCAATGGGTGTTTCCGTTGCTGTATTGGCACATAATCGGAGTACTTAGAGAAGTTCTTGATTTTTTCCGGCTTCGTTTCCGTTTTTTATAAATGTTTTGTAGCACCATAATTAGTCCGTCTAAACAAAAATGATAATAATAATAATAATAATACCAAGTATTCTCACAGTACTGAGACACACTGTACGTCATATTTTCATATTTTTCAAATTCTGAGCCTGCAAAAAAAAATATTTTTAAATTTTGTCATTCATTGGAACAATTAAAAAACTCGCATTTTTACCTGTAGAATGTATTCTGGGTCTCTAACAGGGAGCCCCCTAGGGGCCCTAGGATCTACTATTTCGGGAAGAAGACAATTCCTAAATAAAAATTATTATACAGTGGCCGGCGCCCTTTAACAAGTAAACACAGAGAAGATGTTGATTGACAGCTTCTCTTTGTTACCATGTTTTGTGTATACATGCTGAAAGCTAAAAAAAATCATAATTCTAAATCGAAAGTTGTCTTCATTGTCTTGATATATACGACGACGACTGTATAAAAAGCGAGTAAAATGGCAAAGGGTCAACCGAAAAAGGGCGAAGAAAGTGTCTTAACCCGGCCTAACCTACGATAGGTAGTTTTGCACGTTTGTCGTTTGAACGGCCGTGAGTCATTTTACCTTGAGTTGTTTTACGATGAACACAAAACGCAAAATTTGACCGCCCGTAAACTTTTTTAAAGGGACTGTAGAGGTAATTTTAAGAACGAACCTTGCAGACGTATATTGAAGACAAACATTAAGGACGCACATTGAGGATGCACATCGAGAACACAAATTAAGGACACACATTGAGGACGCACATTGAGCACAAGCACAAGACCTCATCAAGAAAGCACATGGAGGAAACAATACCACATAAAAGACCCACACATTGAGGACGCACATCGAGGACACATATTGAGGACGCACATCGACGGGCACATTGAGGACGCACATTTACCTGTAGAAGTTCTCTAATATTTCCTCGCACTCTTCCCAGAACTCCTGATCATACTCTATAGTCTCCATATGGGAACCATGGGGAGACCATACTAGGAAGTAACAAACAGACCTAAACATAAACTAGGAAGTAACAAACAGACCTAAACATAAACTAGGAAGTAACAAACAGACCTAAACATAAACTAGGAAGTAACAAACAGTCCTAAACATAAACTAGGAAGTAACAAACAACATTAAACATAAACTAGGAAGTAAGAAACAGGCCTAAACATAAACTAGGAAGTAACAAACAACATTAAACATAAATTAGGAAGTAACGAACAACCTTAAACATAAACTAGGAAGTAACAAACAGACCTAAACATAAACTAGGAAGTAACGAACAACCTCAAACATAAACTAGGAAGTAACAAAAAACCTTAAACATAAACTAGGAAGTAACAAACAGACCTAAACATAAATTAGGAAGTAACAAACAGACCTAAGCATAAATTAGGAAGTAACAAACAGACCTAAGCATAAATTGTGAAGTAACAAACAGACCTAAATAGTGAACTAGGAAGTAACAAACAGCCTTAAACATAAACTAGGAAGTAACAAACAGACCTTAACACTAAACTAGGAAGTAACAAATAGACCTAAGCATAAATTAGGAAGTAACAAACAGACCTAAGCATAAATTAGGAAATAACAAACAGACATAAATACTGAACTAGGAAGTAACAAACAGACTTAAATATAAACTAGGATGTAAAAAACAGACATAAACATAAACTGGGAAGTAACAAACAGACCTAAACATAAATTAAGAAGTAACAAACAGACCTTAACACTTAACTAGAAAGTAACAAACAGACCTAAACATAAGCTAGGAAGTAACAAACAGACCTAAGCATAAATTAGGAAGTAACAAACAGACCTTAACACTAAACTAGTAAGTAACAAACAGACCTAAACATAAACTAGGAAGTAACAAACAGACCAAAACATAAACTACAGCAGTAGGCGATTATAACAATACATTGAAGACGACTTTCGATTTTAATTTTATTCATTTCAAGCTGTTAAACGAGTAAAACCGCATGGATACACAAATGAACATAATATCCAAGAACAGCTGTTAATTAAAAAAGCTCCTCATGGATTAGTTGTAAGCTTGTAATTCGAAAAAAGATTGTTTACAATCAAAATTAAATTTAAAAAGTCGTCTTCATTTTATTGCTATAATCGCTTTCCACTGTAGGATGTAACAAACAACCCTAAACATAAACTAGGAAGTATCAAACAAATCTAAACATAAACTAGGAAGTAACAAACAGACCTAAACATAAATTAGGAAGTAACAAACAAATCTAAACATAAACAAGGAAGTAACAAACAAATCTAAACATAAACTAGGAAGTAACAAACAAATCTAAACATAAACAAGGAAGGTACAAACAAATCTAAAAATAAACTAGGAAGTAACAAACAAATCTAAACATAACCTAGGAAGTAACAAACAAATCTAAACATAAACAAGGAAGGTACAAACAAATCTTAACATAAACTAGGATGTTACAAACAACCATAAACATAAACTAGGAAGTAACAAACAAATCTAAACATTAATTAGGAAGTATTAAATCTTTGGTTTACCTTTCTGCAATATGAAGTTGTCCTTGGATCTGATAATAGTAATTATGATTTCTCTTTAACTCCAGTCTCCCCTCCTCCACCTCCTAATATATTAAAGGGACTGTTTACGTAATTTCAACTAACCTTCTCTTAAGGGGTTACATAAAAGATTCACAACGGTGTTATTTTTCTTTGATAGTGACTAGCAAACAAGGAAGGAAATCGACAGAATTTTTCTATTTTTATGAAAGAAACTCACAGTTACTTAGATAATTGTTTAAAGGTTACTGTTGTGATTTATGTTTATATTTATCTTTGAATAGAATGCCATTTACAATTATGTCGATAGTCCCTTGAAATAAAGAGCATTCAACTCCAATAAAAATATGAATGAAAGGGACTGTAAAGGACAAATGAAAGGGGGGTATAGACTGAAAACAAAACATTTTAGGAGTTGATCGAGACCAATGCGAGTTTTATCTGATGTTCTTTTCTTGAGAAATTGATAAAAAAACGCTGTCAAATTTATACGAAAATGATATATATAAAATTTTGTATAAAAATAGTAGGTTTAAACGGATCATATTCAGCAAATATACAACCAATCCGAAAACAACGATATCCCAGAGGAGCCTAAGAAACATAGGTTTGCTCCTATTATTATTTAAATTCTATAACTTTTAAATTTTAATAGATATAATTAATTATATAATAAATACGTCCATATTATGTGACCAGAACTCCCACCAATGGCAGTGCAGTATCATTATCACGTGACTCCGTCTGTATCACGTGACCAACGTGACCAGTATATCGTACTGCTATTAGTGGGAGTTCTAGTGACGTATATTATCAAATATATCTTTTATAAATGAAAAATTATTAAATTTAAATATTTATTTTTTATTTACTTCCCCAAACTCAACGACTTAAGACGTAATTTTTGTTGTCTCACTGGAATTATATTATGAGTATTGTGGCACTGGGAAAGAAATCGGGCTTATATTGTTTCTTGGAATTTTTTTCTCCATTCTGTGACTTGGGGTTTATTATGTAATTATACTTTTCTAACATATCTTTTGATATGACATTTTTATTGTCTCACTAGAAGTATTTTGGCACTGGGAAAGAAATTGGGCTTATTATTTTTTCCGTTCAGGGTTATTTTTTTCTTGTAATTTTTTTTCTCCATTCTTTTACTTGGGGTTTATTATGTAATTATACTTTTCTAATATATCTTTTGACATGTTATATTTAAACAAGTAGAGCTGCGAAGTCAAGTCGTTCAAGTAACTTCGAAAGTATAGATTGGAGTAAAATGTGATTTTCTAAGACAAAAGCTAGAAAATGGAGATTTATTTCCTGTTTTTTTTAATTAGGAATTATTGTGAAATTAAAATTTTCCCAAATATCTTTTATAATTATATTTATAATTTATAATGTTTATAATATTCATAATATTTATAAAGTTGTTGGCAAAGCGTCATAATTGAATCTTGGCCCCTGAATATTAATGTATTTTTATCCTAAATTTAATATTATAATTATAATGATTTTTTAAGAATGAATATTCAGCAATCATGTAGATTTTCCTTAAATATATATTTTGAGAAAACTAACGTTGATTAACTAATTTTAGACTTTCTTGTACACGATAAATACAAATTTACACGGCTTACAGTTTTTCCTTTACGTATGCTGCATATCATTAGATTTAGACAAAATAACTTTAATGATGGTAGAAATACCTATTTTCTCCTACGCACCCCTTGTTCCGAAATACGATATAAATTGATGAAATTTCAGGGGATTATCTTTTTTCAGAAATGAGATTAATTTCAATAAAAAAGTTAGATTATTTAGAGGACTTTTCATAGGATTTTAAGTTTAAAATAAAATCAATTAAGCCAGAATTATGTTTTTCTCGTTAGAAAAATCACTAAAATGTTTAATAATCAACTAATTTAACAAAGAGATTGTTCGCGAAAAATGAAAGATGGTCTAGGCCCAAATTGAATTCGTTTTTTATCTAATGTTTGAGAAATGAGAAAATTGTACATAATATTCGCCGCTTAAACGTTTAAATGCCGTCTTCCCACATCTAAAAGCTTACCTTGAGACAGAAGGTTGAATCAATCCTAGCTAATTCTAGAACACTGATTTCAGAACATCGTATAGGACACTTTACCTCAACTAGACCATCCTTACCAACCAAACCATCTGGAGAAGCAGCAAGGAAACCCTAAATATAGATAATTATTTATCCAAGATCATTTTCAACAAATCCAAGGAAATAAATTCACTCAATCCATCCTTAGTAACCAATCATGTATATATATTCATCCAATTCATCGTTAGCAACCAAACCATGGATATATATTCATCCAATTTATCGTTAGCAACCAAACCATGGATATATATTCATCCAATTTATCGTTAGCAACCAAACCATGGATATATATTCATCCAATCCATCCTTAGCAACCAAACCATGAATACATATATATTTTAATTTACTCAATCCATCCTTAGAAACCAATCCATGTATATATATTCATCCAAACCATCCTTAGCAACCAAACCATGAATATATATTCATCCAATTTATCGATAGCAACCAAACCATGGATATATATTCATCCAATCCATCCTTAGCAACCAAACCATGAATACATATATATTTTAATTTATCCAATCCATCTTTAGCAACCAATCCATGGATATATATTCATCCAATCCATCCTTAGAAACCAAACCATTGATATATCTTCATCCAATCCAGATATAAGAGAGTTACCGAGATCAATTGAAACCTATGATATGCAATATTTTCCACAGCATGTTCTATTGTGTACAAATACTGTACACGACCAATCAGCAAACATATGTGTTCAGGAATATTTAAAGATCCTTTGGATACGAAACACAACATCTTAAAAAATAGAATGAATTCATTAATGTTATGCTTCATGTTTAAAATTGGAGTATTGCTTTAAAAGTTCTAAAAATTTACCCCTGAATGGGTGTTATATGCAACTTAAGTGGCCGTGAGATGGCACTATCGAAAAAGCGTAGCGTGTCGTGCTGGGTCAACTATAGGCCTACGTAGCACACCCTGTGAAAGGAGAAAAGCAGTCTGTATAGTCTGTGATTCAATCCATCCTTAGCAACCAATCCATAAATATTTAGATGTTAGGTACTTTCCCAAAGGATTTTTCCCAAGTGGCAACTTCACAAGGGTATTCTCCCAAGTGGCAACTTGCCAATGTGAAATTTCCCAAGTGGCAACTTCCCAAGTATGTCATAGCCGCAGCACTTGGCCCCAGCCGGTTCTAGCCGCGGCGCTCGCCCCCTAGCCCATCCTAGCCGCAGCGCTCGGCTCCCCCACCCATTGCATTGCAGCCTGCGGCGCCTCAGAGAGCCTAACCTAACCTTTGGGAAGTTGCCCCTTGGGAAATTGTCACTTGGGAATAAGTCGCCCTAGGGAAAATGCCTACGGGAAAGTACCGTATCCAATCCATCCACAGCAATTAATCCATGGATAAATATTTATCCAATTCTTTCTTAGCAACCAAACCATGGATATATATTCATCCAATCCATCTTAAGCAACCAAACCATGGAAATTTATTTATCCAATCCATCCTTAGCAACCAAACCATGAATATATTTTCAACTAATCTATTCTAAGCAACCAATCCATGGATATACCTTCATTCAATCCATCCTTAGCAACCAAACCATGGATATATTTTCATCCAATCCATCCTATTCTAAGCAACCAATCCATGGATATACCTTCATTCAATCCATCCTTAGCAACCAAACCATGGATATATTTTCATCGAATCCATCCTTAGCAACCAAACCATGGATATATTTTCATCCAATCCATCCTTAGCAACCAAACCATGGATATATTTTCATCCAATCCATCCTTAGCAATCAAACCATGGATATATTTTCATCCAATCCATCTTAAGCAACCAAACCATGAATATATTTATTTACTGGATATATTTGAACTTTAACTAAAGCAACATCTTTTTAAAAACATCTTATAAACTTCGATAATATCAGATAACATTTTGACTATGAAGACCAATTTATCAAAGAATCATCAATTATATTGATACAGTTTTTTCTTTTAATAATCTCTTCTTTACTACGAACAATCGTTAATAGTTACTAGAACCCTATAAATAAGTGTCATTGAAGATTGCATTGAAGACATAGTTTTGAGCCACAAGCAAGTCAATTTGCTTCTTAATTTTTTTCTTTCTTTTAAGTCTCAAATAATTTAAGGGACTGTAAACGTAATTTCATGTGCACTGACCTTTAAAGAGAAAGGTCACTTAGAATTATGCTTACAGTCCCTTTAAGTTTACCTTCCAAATATCAACAAAAATGCCACACTCCTCCACCTCCCCCAACCCTTCCTGCTCCAGGATACTATTCAACTCAGAGATAGCTTCAGCCTCATTCATCCGACCATACCTGTATAAAATATAATAGATAAAAGGTCTGTAGGCGTAATTATAAGTGACTCATATTTTATAGAGTGGAATTCATAATGATACCGATAAAAGCTTTGTCTGCTCATGGGAAGACTAAAGGGAGTGACTTTAGAATTTGAGGTGAAAATAATGAAGTTAAAGAATAAAAGTAAAATGTTCTATTCTTTATGACAAGTAGAGAATTAAACAATTCAAAGATTATAGTTTTATGTACACTGCTAAATCGCCTCCAACTTTCATTTTAAAATTGGGTGGCGGGGACAAATTGAATTGAAAATTAGATTGTCTGGAGTTTGGTTGATTAAAAGGGAGCAATAGTGACTGGAAATATATGGGGGTGTAGCAGAGTAAAAATAAAAAGTTGTTTGTTGATAATTGATAAATAGATAGATATTTACTTAATGACTTCAAGGTTATCCAGCTTATCTGAGTCTAAAACTAAAGAACGAAAAGTTTTGACTTAAATTTTAAGTTCATGAGTCTAAAACTAAAGAACGAAAAGTTTTGACTTAAATTTTAAGTTCATGGTTAAATCCCACTTCTGACTTAATTTAAACCTGAACTTTAACCGTGAGGTTAAATATTTAACCCTGTGGTTAAATATTTAACTCGCCGAAATCGACGAGTTAAAATCTAAACACAGGGTTAAAATCTTGAAATCCTGCATTTTCCCTATTTGTCTATTATTCAATCATCATTCAGCTGAGAAAGTGGCATTCAACTTTACGATATATTTAAAAGTCAAAACCTTGTTAAAGAAATTTCACGTTTAAGATTAATTAATTTTTGCATGTAAACCCAAAAAACGGTTGTAACTCGAAATATATGTTTTGTTTTCGGTTACGTAATCAGCTGATTAGCGATGATTATGTAATATTCTCCGTAAATCCTTTTCTCTGATTGGTTCAGATTTTCCCGGGAAATTCAAATTTAAAATTGAGAAAGTTTAATATTTAAGTAGCTATTCATTATTTTACAGAACTTTTAACCTCGAACTTAAAATTCGCGCATTCTTTAGTTTTAGACTCTGTATAAAGAATAACGGTATTCTGAAGCTATTAGATAGAAAGATAGATTTATAGATAAATAATTACATATGTATTTACTTGATAGCTTGAAGATTATCCAGCTTATCTGTATAAAGAATAAAAGTATTCTGAAGCTATTAGATAGAAAGAAAGATAAATTTATAGATAAATAGATAGATATTTATTTACTTGATAGCTTGAAGGTTATCCAGCTTATCTGTATAAAGAATGGATAAAACGGTATTCTGAAGCTATTAGATAGAAACAAAGATAGATTTATAGATAAATAATTAGATATGTATTTACTTGATAGCTTGAAGGTTATCCAGCTTATCTGGATATAGAATGGATAGAACAGTATTCTGACAGCTTGTTGTCATCCTCATCTTTATAACCCTGGATATCAATAATATGATAATGATAATGATAATGATAATGATAATGATAATGATAATGATAATGATAATGATAATGATAATGATAATGATATTGATAATGATAATGATAAACTCAAAATTCTAATTGTTGAACAATCCCTTTAATTGCTGGTGCTGCTCACCTTCCAAAATTGCTGGCGGTTAATCTCTCCTTCCTTTCCTTTCTCCACTCAGGGTTCCTTCCTTGGCCCCTGGAGTGTACGTTTGTTTAATCTTTTTAAAGGAATTGTTGGCAAAATTGTCATTTCTTTTCATTACAGAATTAAATAACTAACTAATTATTCTGTATGCAATCTATTTTTTGAAGATCTCTAAGAAATAAGATTGGCTGATAGATAAGTTACCTTTAACTAAAAATAAGGTATCTAGTTGTTATCTATATATTGATATTTCATGTATATATTTTCAAATGGGTAAATAATTCCTTTCATGATGAAATTTTGTTTCACGTATCTACTACTAATAAAAAATAATGAAGAAAACAAAAAGTTCTTAAACGATGCAGAGATTGCAGACGTAATTCCAAGTGATTATATATTCATTATTTTCTTTTTGGGTTACCCAGCAAGTCCCATTATAGATATACTTTGCTTGACTCAGGTCTGTTTGTTTGTTTGTGTCCAATAAACGTCAAAACGGCTAAACCGATCGGGCGCAACTTTTTGCTGGCAACTCACATGTCCCCAGGGAAGTTTTCTGGATGGTTAAAGAAAAAAAGATTTGCATGGAAAATATTTTGCCATTAATTATTTTTGAAAATGCGCAAATATAAATAAAAAATTCGCAAAATAAAATTTTGAAAAAAGGTAGATTGAAGAGAACATTTAACAGCTAAAACTTTTACAAAAAAGGGGTGCAACGCGCCCTGGAAACCAAACCTGAATTCACACTAGATTGAATTGTTTTTTGAAAGAATTGGAATAACGCCTATTACCTCTTAGGTAGAAAAAATATTGCTTTAATTTGTTTGTCTCACCTTGTAGCCCGCTCTATAACTGCTTGCCGAGTTCGACTGATCCTGAGAACAATTAGATTTTTTTTATTTTCACACAAATACGAAATCGATATTCAATGAGCCATGCAGTTTTAGATACTTTCAAACATACAAAATAAAATGTTGCCTTTTAAAATAAAACCTTACTGAACAAAATAGCAAGTAGATCAAACAGTAATACAAATTATTTTAAGGAATTGAGTTCTAGCCTCAAACTCAAATGTTTTTATTCCAATATCGTTGCAACATGATGGCGTACATTTTTGATTTTTCAAATTTAGATTTTTTGATTTAACAGAATTCACAGTTTGAAATATCTAAGGTTTATGCGTCATTGGGTCGCAAAGATAGGAATTAGGAAACGGGATTGTATGGCAAAAACTCAATTCCTTTGATATAGAAACTCTGTTTGTTTTTTAATAATTACAAATTGAAAGCATTAAAATTTTAATTTAACTCTAAAAGCTAATTGAGAGAAAGTTAAATTGTATTAGATTTAATTGAGAAAACGGGACTTTTGACGTAATGATCAAGAAAAAATGATAATTATATTTAACTTTAACAATTGATTATTCTTTATGGTGAGTTTACCATAGAATTAGTACAGCAGAATTATACTTGACGTGTACTTTCAAGGGTACCATTGAGAATCGATCATGATAGTCCCTTTAAGATTTAAAAAACCCTAATAAAAAGGATAAATAAGATAACATCCAAAACACACAAAAAAAATCAAAATTATGGAGAAAATTGAAAAGGCAAATTGCAAACTAAAAACTCGTAGCTTAAAACTTTTTCATCGATTCATTATTAAAACTTATATAACTTATATTCTTTTACTTCATGTTTAAGGGACACCTCGTATTGTTTAAACTAAATCAAATACATGCAAAAGTGCTTCTTACTGAATGGACATAAATGGACTGAAAAATATAATTCTAAGATTAAATGATGTGATCCTTAAAAGGTGAATAAAAAATAATATTGTTAGCAAAATATATTTTCTTTCCAGCAAACATACTTTTTTTTAATACGTCAAACATTTTAATTATGGAGTAACATCTTGTTAATAATTAAGATTTCTTTGTTAAAATGAAAAGAAGTTTCTAAGATTTTGGATAGCATTTAAAGGAAATTTTCTTTGGAAATTAACTTAGATTTTTAGGAAAATCAAATGAAATTCGTAATACACAATGTATTTAAAAGTTACTTAGTAAAAAAGAGAATTTCTTCTTTGTAAATATTTTTATGCGTCCAAATTTTTTTGGATAAGGTGCGTAAAAGGTATTCATTGTGGTAATACACAATTACTCCCCCTGAGCTGAAAATTGTAGAATTGTGAATATCGAGATCAATGCTCTTTTATTAATCTTAAGATTAATTTAATCCTAGAAAGTATCTAAAATTAAACCAAAATTAAATTTTTTAGAGCAATTAATGAGATAACTTTTATTGGTCTAAATCCAGCAGGGATATCCAAAAGAGAGCATTAAGAAAAAATAAAAAGTGTCAACAGTGGATACAGATATTTAGCAATCAAGATCAAGGATATCAAAAACAAGAGTTTTCAGCTCTAATCCAATAAAATGCCCCACTCAGTACTCAAGGAAGCAGGGTAATAGTTTTTTAAGTGAAAATGGAACATAGAACTACATTAACTACATACAAATTACTGGGTTGATAATATTTTATACTGTTTTTTTTTCTTCTTTTCTTTTAAATGCTAGATTATTTTGCAAATTATTTTATTTTGTGATGCTATTTCCCTTATTATGATGAAAAAAAACTAATTTTAATTGATTGATTTATGAAGAGCACATGAGAAAATGCTTTTTTTTACTTACAAGGAAATATGTTTAAATATAAGGATGAAAATCAACTTACTGGAGTTTTCTGAGAATATCATTGGATTTCTTTTTCATCATTTCATCCGAGATGTCTGGTTCCTTCCACCTTTCATCCAGTATATTCATCCTAGATATTAATATATTTATCCTAGATATTATTATATTCATCCTTGATATTACTATGTTCGTCCTAGATATTATTATATTCATCCTAGATATTAATATATTCATCCTAGATATTACTATGTTCGTCCTAGATATTATCATATTCATCCTAGATATTATGTTCGTCCTAGATATTTTTATATTCATCCTAAATATCATATTTATCCTAGATACTATTATATTCATCCAAGCCAAATTATATTCATCCTAAATATTATAAATATCCTAGATATTATTATATTCCTCCTATATATTATTATATTCATATTTATCCTAGATAGTATTATATTCATTCTAGAAATTATTATATTCATCCTCAATATTCTTAAATTCATCCTAGATATTATCCTATTCATCTTAGATATTATTATATTCATTCTAGATATTATTACATTTATCCTAGATATTATTATATGCATCCTAGATATTACTTTATTCATTCAAGTTATTTTATTTATCTTAGATATCATTATATTCATCCTAGATATCATTATATTCATCCTAGATATTATTATATTCATGCTATATACAATTATATTCATCCTAGATACTTTATTAAATCTAGATATTACACATCAGGTCCGGGTTAGTCCAGTTCAGTGACCTTGCCTTATTTTTGTGTTTATTATTGGATGTACTTTTTTACTGTTTCTTTTACCTGTAGAATTCCAAAATGGACGGAAACAGTTTAACCTCCCAGAAGTGATCATCTCTCTCAATAACCTGAAAAATTAAAGGAATTGAGTCATTGCTACAAACTGAAATATTGTTATCTCTAAATCTTTTTACCTAATAATTCAATAGAATTGGCCCTATATAAGTATTTAAGATTTATTGGGGATAAGTATAATTTAGTTATTACGATGAGCCCGAAGGCCAAGTAATTGCAAATTTTCAGTCGACATGGTCGTAAATATTGAAGCTCTAAGTTTGAGGGAGATCTTGTAATTCGTAATTGAATAAAGCAGAACGTAAAAAAATTGTGCGTATGCGTGTTTGTTACATATAGACGGAAACCCGTATCATATATGTAGAGTTGTAAAAATTAGACTATTTTTATGAGTTTCGGCGCAGAAGGTCGTTTTTAACCGGATATTAGACTATTTGAGCGGCTCTGTTATATTTCGGAAGATTTTAGATATTCCACGGGCAGCGGCCAGGCACATATGCTAAATTCTAAATAAGTTCTTCACTCATATATATGTACATACATATGATAGTCGAGAACAGACCTCATAGAAGATTGGTTTTGTAGCTAGTCCTGTTCCTGAGGATTTAAATATAAAATAAAAAAAAATTGATTATATTTAATTTATATGTAATATGTTAGCTATAGCTGGCAAAACAGTGGTAGTCTAGAAAATTTACGAGTTTTTTATTCAAAATTCGAAAAGATTTTTCCAGCTATATACTTAAACATAAAATAAGAAAATAAGAAAAGAATATAAAGAAGGAGCTGATGCAGCAAATTTTGTGTTAAATATTTTATGAGCCAGGTATACTGCAGACTAATTACAATGAACATGAGTAGAATAACAATGCTTTAAAGTAGGAAAATACTACACTAGTTTCTTGGGAACACAGCTTTCCTTATAACCAATTTTTAGCGGGGTTCCGGTCCCAATTGGTGCTGAGCCACACAGAAAAGCTTTTGTACGCAAAAATACGCAAGTTCTGAGTCTCATACAGATGTCACAAATGTCGTATTTTCTAACCTGATAATGAAATTCTTTAGGACTCCAGACTACAAAATAGCAAGTTGCCTTGTCACAGATCCGTAGTTCTCCTTGGATCTAAAATAAAGATAAATAAATAAATAATAAAATAAATAAAATGATAAATCAATAAATAAATTAAAACCAAAACAATATAAATAAAATAAAGCAAATAAATAACTAGATGAAATTATTTTTTATTACAATATTTAAATTAGTATCCAATAAATCTTAAAAACAATAAAATTTGGTTTAACCAAATATTTGATAATTACTATCAGGGGTCCTATCTTTTTAAAAGCAAAATATTCTCAATGGATTTAAAGCATATTTTAAATTATGTCTCTCCACCTGATAGTAATATGGGTGATCTTCCTTTAGTTTCAACCTTCCAGCTTCAGTTACCTGTTTAAAAATAGAAATAAAAATCAAATATTTTACAGGGTTACCCATACCTACAATTAAGAGATGAGACTTCAAAGACGACTGTACGTAATTTGTATTTTCTGTTATATTTATGATGACTTAATTTAACATTGATATCCTCTTATCTTAAGATTTTCAAGTCGTCTTTTCAGTCTCATCCGTTTTGGGAACCCTGTAAAAGTCAATTAATCAAATATCTATTTGTTTTTATCTTTTAGATATTTGGTTTATGATTATTTATTTCTAAAATTTCTAAAAATTCTTCTTTTTTGTTCTCCAAAATATTTAGTTAAATTTTGATTGAATTGATTTATATTTTCCTTGTCTGAGTCTAGAAGTCCATCAGGGACACACACCAGGAACTTGTGCTCTAAAATACATTAAATTTAATTATTTTCAAAATAAAAAATAAACATTTAAACTCAGAAAAATACAAAAATGGATGTTAAAAAATTTATACTATAAAATACGAAGAAGAGCTTGGAATGAACAAAAAACATTCTTTTTTCTTTTTTCTCGGGGAGGGGGGGGGTNTAGATCAACAGATAGCTTATCTGATAGATTATCATTTAGATCAACAGATAGCTTATCTGATAGATTTAACAGATAGATCAACAGATACCTTATCTGATAGATTTAACAGATATATCAACAGATAGATCAATAGATAGATTATCAGATAGATCAACAGATAGCTTATCTGATAGATTTAACAGATAGATCAACAGATACCTTATCTGATAGATTATCAGATAGATCAACAGATAGCTTATCTGATAGATTCAACAGATACCTTATCTGATAGATTATCAGATAGATCAACAGATAGCTTATCTGATAGATTTAACAGATAGATCAACAGATAGATCAACAGATAGATCAACAGATAGATCAACAGATAGATCAACAGATAGATCAACAGATAGCTTATCTGATAGATTTAACAGATAGATCAACAGATAGATCAATAGATAGATCAACAGATAGATCAACAGATAGATCATCATAGATAGATTATCAGATATATCAACCAGATAGATCAACAGATATATCAACAGATAGATCAGCAGATATATCAACAGATATATCAACCAGATATAACAACCAGATATATCAACCAGATAGATCAACAGATATATCAACAGATATATCAACAGATAGATCAACAGATATATCAATAGATAGATCAACAAATAGATCAACAAATATTCAAATTGAAGAGAATTGGTTTAACTAAATCTGGTCCCTAATCTCCCTAATCTCTCTAATCTCCTTAATCTCCCTAATGGTCCCTAATCTCCCTAATGGTCCCTAATCTCCCTAATGCCGAAGTTAAATTATTTTGCAAATATTTCTAGGAAATAATGCTTTCTAAAGTATCTCAGGGGTTAATTTTCCCGATTAAAATGGTCAAACTCAGCATATATGTAGAACTCTCAAAGGAATCCAGTTTTTCTCCAAACTCTGATTTTTTATCGCGTTATCTTTGGACCTTTCATATTTCAAGCTGTGAATTCTGTTAGATCAAATAATCTAAGTTTAAAAATATCAAATGTTTACACCATCAGGTTTTAAAGATATTGGGATTATAATTGTTTGAGTTTGTGACAAGGACTTGATTTCTTTAAATCAAACTTTCGAATTTTATATATTTAAAAAAAATCCATTATATCCGTAACATTACGTTTAGAATTCTGCCCTACATGTTTGATATTTCGGTAAGTTTGGTATTTCAAACAAAATTTTAACTCTAAATTAATTAAATCTTTGCCTGGCATCTTTCTCATGAACTCGACCATACAGTGTAGCCTCTGTATCCCCTTCCCCACCTATTCAGAAATACAGTGTGTCCCACTCACATGACAATTAAGTGCCAATTAAGTATATTGAAGATCGTCCTTTTTGATTAGATCATATAAAAACATATAAGTAATAGTTTTCAGTTTTTTTCTTCTAATAAATAAGATAAACGATCATTTTTATGTTAATTATAAGATTTTTATAAAACTAAGTTTAAATTTTCTGGAACCAATCAACTTTTCAGAATATATTTAAAAATAATACCAAGATGTAAATTGAATATGAACTGACATATCTATGAGCCCAGGGGGCCAGGGAAGACTTATGGATTGTCGAAGTTTAAAAATTCTGCCTGGAAATTAATACAAAAATAATTTTAAAGTTAAAACTAAAAAAGAAGCGCAAAGCGCACTTGAAATCCGCACAGTGATGATAAATAACATAAATTATTAATTACTAGCTGGAGTGCCCGGCGTTGCCTGTGGAATTAAAATTTTTATTCTTATTTTTTTCAGCTTATGTTACCCATGAGTTTCATCTAAAAATGTCATTCCATTCGGCCCAGCAAAGAGCTTAATTATATAGATTACCATTGTATGTGAGTATTTCTTTCGTAAACTGTTTGTCTTTCACTCTTTTTCCTTGGGCTTGCACAATCTGACCAAATTTGCTGGCAGGTATCTTTCTCTTCCATCCATACTCATTCCATCCACCCTCATCCACCTACAGTATACAATGCATTCTTATCCATCCATTCTCATTCCATCCACCCTTATCCACTTTCAGTATATACAATCCATTATTATCTATCCATACTCATTCCATCCACCCTCATCCACCTGCAGTATACATTGATACAATCTCTTATTATCCGTTCATTCTAATTTCATCCACCCTTATCCATCTGCAGTATACAATCCATCATTATAATCCATCCACCCTCATCATACTGCAGTTACAATCTATTTTTTATCCATCCTTCTCATATTCATTCCATTCACCCTCATCCACCTGCAGTATACAATCCATTGTTATCCATCATTCTCTTCCATTCATACATATTGACTCTCATCCACCTGCAGTATAAAATCCATTATTATTCAACCATAATCATTCCAACCAACCTAATCCACATACAGTACACAATCCATTATAAGTTATCCTTCTCTTCCATTTATATTCATTCACCCTCATTATACTGCAGTATACAGTCCATTGTTATCCACCCATCCTTCTCATTTTCCCTCCATATACTTTCTTCCATCTGCTGTATACAATCCATAATTAATATGATTCCGTGCGTCATCCGTCTTCTAGCGGCAAATTATGGTACTAAAATGTTTCATCTTCTGTCTCCTTCCAGCCACCTACAAGCGCTAAATTATTGTAATAATTATATCCAATAATTACCCACCATCTAGCGGCACATTATGGTACTAAAATATATCTTAGTCTGCCTCCTTCCACGCCACCACCTATAAGCGCTGAAATACTGTACTATCACGCGCCACCACAGTTTCCACCCCCTCCCACCATCTAGCGGCACATTATAGTACTAACCGGTGTTCCATCTCCTGCTTCATTCTCTGTCATCTTATCCTCTATCTGCCTAGTCTCATGGTAGTAGAGGATTTTTACACTCTCCTTTTTTCCATCCTTTCCTTCAATCTTGCCTAAAAATCAAATTAAAAATTAATTTAAAAGTCTGGATAAATGTCCGATTCACAACTCTTGGTATGAATTAAATATCATATATTTATCATTTTGAAAACTGATTAGGATTTCTCTACAAAAGTGACTTGCGCATTTCTACAGAAGGAAAACTATAGGAATTATCAAAATGAAACACTTTTAAACCTAGAAAAAACGTCAACATCTTCCACATTATTGAAAAGATAAAGGGTACCATTGTGAATCAAGCATTGTCATCTTTCATGGAGGGTCTCTTGAAATTAGATTTACAGTCCCTTTAAAAACATTAAAATGATAATATTAAAAGTATTTTTACCATTTTGATAATCATCCCGTTCATCTTCATCCTCCTCCTCCTCCTCCCCAGAACTCTCTTCAGATAAAAGGGCTTCCATCTCATCCCTCATCCGTCCCACAACATCATCCTTCATCCGCTCTATACTACCAATCCTCAGATCAAGGGAACTAGAATGAAATTTTTTTCAATTAAGTTTGAAAATTATTTTTTAATAGCTTTTTAGACTGATTAGTTATTTTTCATGAATGATCAAATTCTAACTTCTACTCCACCTCACCTAAGATAATAAAACTCCCATTTCCATGATCATTCATTTCAATAAATAATATTCTAAAGTTAGACTAACAAAGTCAAGGAATACAGGAATACAGGAATGATTATTTCAGGGGTCTTAATATTTTTAGACATTTTAGGGGACCGCTTAGTCTCCATCAAAGCCCACCTCTGCATACGCCCCTTGATAAACTGAATGGTTAACATTTCCTTTAAACCAAAGGCTACCCTTTCCCCTAAAATGTAATATCTCATTTTTTAACTGCAAGTATTTTTATTAGGAAGGGGAGGGGGGAGGGGATTTTAAACTTTCCAATAATATTACTATGCTATCCCCCCACTCCCTCTCTTCTTTTATTTGCATTACCTTAAGAACAATAACTTGGAACTCCTTTGCTTCAAGTTCTTCTTCCTCAGCTTGTACTATTCTCTCAAGCAAACAGTCCATCTATATAGTACACATACAATACATAGCTTGTACTATTCTCTCAAGTAAACAGTCCATCTATATAGTACACATACAATACATAGCTTGTACTATTCTTTCAAGTAAACAGTCCATCTATATAGTACACATACAATACATAGCTTGTACTATTCTTTCAAGTAAACAGTCCATCTTTAATACACATACAATTCATAGCTTGTACTATTCTCTCAAATAAACAGTCCATCTATATAGTACACATACAATACATAGCTTGTACTATTCTCTCAAGTAAACAGTCCATCTTTAATACACATGCAATACATAGCTTGTACTATTCTCTCAAGCAAACAGTCCATCTATATAGTACACATACAATACATAGCTTGTACTATCTTTTCAAGCAAACAGTCCATCTTTAATACACATACAATTCATAGCTTGTACTATTCTCTCAAGTAAACAGTCCATCTTTAATACACATACAATACATAGCTTGTACTATTCTCTCAAGTAAAACCGCAGCGCCCGGCCCCCCTAGCCTGCACCTAGCCGCAGCACTCGGCCCCCTAGCCACAGCGCTCAGCCCAGAAATTGTCTTATACCTAACCTAACCCAAAAATAATAAAACATAAATATTAATAATTTAGCTGAAAGTTAGTGGTCATGAACAAAATTGATAGGAGGGGGTGGGGGGTCAAAAAATCGGACCCAGATAATGTCCAAGCTAAATTATAATGGATCATCAAATACTTAATTAATATTCTTAATTATAATCTTATGTTCTCGTCTTGGCCAATTTATTTTGTAGGCAAAAGCACAATTAAAATATTGAAAAGTAATTCGAAAAAACAAAATATATAAAATATTTTTTACTGACCTTGATTGCTGTAGTTTTTTCTCCCTCAAAATTGGATCAATCGAGATATATCACTGACTGACAGTTCAATAAAAATTGCCAATGTTTTATAGACATCGATTTCACCATTCAATAATTTCACCATTTAAAACCGGTTTCGGTGTGGAATCATATTTTATCCTGTCAGGCAGTTAAGGCAGTGCATGTAGGCAGTAGGGAGAAGTCAGGACTGCAGCTTAGCAGGATTGATCACGATTAAACGCCATAGCTCATTTTTTCGAAAAATAAAAAAAACATTTTTTAAAATCTTATTTTTAATAATCAAATTTTAAAATTTAGATGTTTTGAAGTGCGGGTAATTTTGCAATAATATCTCGGGTTATGGCGTTTGCACTTTTGACATTTCTCTCTGCAAGAATAAGATAAAGGAATTCCGCAAAACTAGGGGATGTCACCTAATTATGTCAACTTGCATGCATAATATATAACCATTTAAGGAGGTTGGCATTTTCGTTATTGGCCAAATCTTATACTGAAAGGTCTTACTAAATGTTTTGAATATTTTTCAAAATAATATTTTGTTGAAAGACGACATTTTAGAGAAATTAACTCGGCATTCAACACACATTTCAATTTAATTCCAGAAATCAAACACGCCGTAAAGTTTATTTTATGTTTTAAGGGAAAACTTGACAATTGAAAGAAAACATTTTTATTAACTCATTAGGTTTTTATTAGAGAAGTATTACCAGACTAGATCCGGTGAAAAACAAAACATGACCATTGTGAACAGTTTTTTTCTACTGTTGTTCGGGTCTGCACTGTTCTTGAGAACGCTTTTTATAGGAAGGCTAGGTTATGTTCACACATCACAATAGTTATAAGCCACCCCCTCCCCCAGGGCATGGAGGGACAGAAAGCCCCCCCCCTCATCCTCCTATCTATCTATGACATGGCCAACGCTTCGAAGGCTATCTGAACTCTCTGAACAAATCACCTGTTGATATACAGGTGATATTCGGGTCTGTCCTAGAGAACGATTTTTGGACTCCCCCCCCCCTGCCACCCCCGGCCCTTCCCTACTTCAATTTTGTACATGCCCTTTAATTTTAAGTTATTTTGTATTATTTAGGGTTAGGTTAGACACTTTCTGGGCCGAGCGCAGCGGCTAGGACAGGCTAGGGGGCCGAGCGCTGCGGCCACGGGTTAGGTTAAGTTAAGACACTTTCTGTAAGATCCATGTACAAAATTGATAGGAGGGGGGCGGGGGGGGGGGCCCAAAAATCGTTCTCTAGAAATATACCTGATATTCTTGGTACTCTAATTTCTGAAGAGGCACAGTTTAAATATATTTAATATGGAGATAGTAGAATCTTTCGTCAATTTTCCGGTCTGTTCTAGATAACGCTTTATTTGACCTCCTCCCCCTCCCCCTCCTAGGATTGTATAGGGGACCGGGTGCTGCGGTCACATGTCCAACTTTAACCAATATTCATTACAGATTAGATTCTTGTACATTGTCCATAATTTGAATAAAACCATTTCCTATTTTTTTACAAAACATTTTTCAGAAGTTTTATAATGTGTGACATATATATGCCCGAGGATGTTGGAAAACTGTTTGAGAATCAACATGTTCTAATCCTCGGTGGTTCGTTTATGCGCGGCGTTTACAAGGATCTCGTTTGGTTGGTCAATCACCCCTCTATCATACCCAGGTTGGGTTGTTAAAAGATTGAAGGGATTGTTAACGGTTTTTAGAATATTTACTCAAATTCAAGAATGTACAATGTACACTGCAAACAATTATATGTGAAGTTGTGAACGATCTTTTTAAAATCTTTCTGTGTATACTCTTTAAGTGAATTTTATTTTCATTGATCAAACAAAGATTCAAGGGTCACGTCATGACCTTTAACAACATTCTCAAATTGAATCGTCACTTATAGTACGTTGACAACCTTAAAGATTTTATTTCTGAATTAAAAATGGCCTTTTTAAGAGAGGTTTTGGGAGCTAAATGTGAATCAAGCTTTCCAGATCTAGAGAATACAGTTTGGAAGGTAGGAATTTACCGGCGCATAAAATAATTAAATATTTTCTCACTTTATATATATAGTTATAGTATTTATGTTCAAACACAAAATACAAAATAATAATGTATGATGGTTCAGCTTAAAATAAAACACAAGAAGATTCAATATGAGCCAATTGAAAATATAATGTTTAATAATTTTGTTCTGATCGTTACTTGTTGAAACAGACTATTCATATTGAAATCTCAACTGAATATACATTCATTGTGGATTTACAAGTAAATACTTAGTCAGCACTCAAATAATCGAAATATTTTCAGGAATGCATAAATTGAACTTATAAATACATATTGATTCAGCAAAAGTAGCAATGTATTCTTGTTGACTTTGACATCCACCATTAGCAAAGGGTGTGAACCCATTCTTGTTGACTGTAGTAAACTTTGACATCCACCATTAGCAAAGGGTGTGAACCCATTCATGTTGACTGTAGTAGACTTTGACATCTACCATTAGCAACGGGTGTGAACCCATTCATGTTGACTGTAGTAGACTTTGATATCTACCATTAGCAAAGGGTGTGAACCCATTCTTGTTGACAGTATACAGATTATATAAAGGTTGCGGCCCTAGTCCTGAATATATTCTATATGTTTGGAGTATTTTATAGGTTTTAATAAGTGAAAATAAATGTAAAGGTTGTAAATTTGAGGACACGTTTTAAACATGACAATAATCTGAACATTTTTAGAACCAATATTACAGAATCATGCAGTGCATTGGATCCCTAAGATTTGACCTTCCTGGATCCGGATCCGAGTGGGAAAATATCAACTAAAAACTGAAAAAAAAAAAAATTCTAAAATTCCAAATCTGAACTGTTGAAAAAAGAGACATTATAAAAGTATCCTGATCTCTAAATGGTTCATCAAGTTTTAGCATACAAATAAGCAAAAAAAGAAACAAAATAATTTGTCAATTCTGCTTTGTTAAAAAATTAAAATTCATGATCTGGATCCTGATCACTTTTTTCCAGTGCGGATCCGGGTTCCGGATCCGCATTAAATTTAAATGGATTCTATTCACTGGACCAATGATTGCCCCAACAGTGGATTGTTCAGTTACTGAACTTTACCTTGGGACAACAAAAACATTTCCCTCTGCGAAATTTTCGAGAAAAAAATCGTGCATTATCACAATAAAAGGTTTAATGATTTTCATCAAACATAAGGATAAGTTTTAAAATATTAACTTATTATTTCTTTAATTTTCTCTTTTTTTCAGACTGGTTCGGTTGATGGATCTGTGACGAAAATATTTACTGAAAACAACAGAGATGTTCTTCTGGAAACTAAAGGTGATAATTCAAACTATTCAGGGGATAAATATATACCCTTGAATAAATATATAAGTATGTTTGTATATATGTATGTATATATAAATAAGCTCTCAAGAATTCATTCTGAACTTAATATCAGCAGCAAAAGCTAAATCTGAGATAATTCCGCTCCGCTACTGTCTTCTTTCAAATCTAAATCAAAACGGGATAAAACTAATCTGTCATAATATTATTTGGATAAATTATAAAAGTTCCAACCACTGTTCTTCTAGGTTCTCTAATCGGATTAATTACTCACAAGTTTCCACCTTTGTTATCCTAGGTTCTCTTATCGGATTAATTACTAACAAGTTTCCACCTCTGTTATCCAAGGTTTGACAAGTGGAAGAACGTACATAGAACCCCGCAGATATTACAACAAGAAGTACAATATCACATTCTTTTATCTCTTCATCGTAAGAGCATATTCAAAGGTAAGACTAGAAAAGGAGACATTAAAGAGACTGTAGGCTTAATTTCAAGTTACCCTCCATTTGAATAGATGGGAATGCCCGATTTTACAATTGTATACTTGAAACTCTTATCTGATAAACAAAATGGAAGATAACGTTGTGTTTAAGCTTGAAAAGTGTTTTGATTGTTTATTTTTATATTCTGTTTCCTACAGGAGAAATGTGCAAGTCATCTTTTAGAAAAACCATAACTAAACATAATTTGTCCAGCTAATAAACACATTCAATGATAACAATTGATCAATCATTTGATTTCTTAATTAATTGATTGATTTATTAATTGATTTTAGACTCATTGATTTATTGATTGATTTGTTGATTTATTAATTGGTTGATTTATAGATTTATTGAATGATCAACTGATCAATTGTTTATTTATCTATGGGGTCCCTCTCTCTTAAAGTCAACATAGTGCTGAGCAAACTGGAGGAGGTAGGCAAGGTGGTTAAAGATAAACAGGTTTCAATCCCAGTGGTCCAGGCAAGGCAAGCATGCTATTTCTGTGATGAGGAGGGTCACATCCTCATGGCCTGTCCGAATAAGACTTGCTGCATCTCTTGCGGGTCAGAACTACACAGAAACGAAAAATGCATCCATAAGGAGGCCACATGTGGAAAATGTGGGTTAGTGGGCCACACATCCCTGGTGCATCACACCAAGGTAAAGGAGCTAAGGACGCAGCTAATGGTGGCCCATGAAGAGGAGTTTGACCATTTCTTGGATGGAGAGGAGCCAGGGACCAGTTTAAGTGGGCCTGGACGATCCAGTAAGGGGACTGGGAAGCGCCTAGGGGGGCCAGTAAGGGCGCAAACAGGTCCGTTAGTCAGGCCGAGCGGCCTCAGTTCTTAAACGAGTAGAATTAATTTCTGTTTTATTGTGTGCTCCTTTGCTTAATATCAAACTATATCATCAATAAACTACTGTAATAATTGGATTTTGTCATGCTCCGTATGTAATAAACCATATGAATAACCTGGTTTTCTTTTTAATTTGAGGTGGAAGGTTATCGATTTATCCATTTATCGATTTATCAATTTATCAATTTATCAATTTATCAATTTATCATTTTATCATCAACAGGTCAACAACAGGTCAACAACAATAGGTCAACAACAATAGGTCAACAACAATAGGTCAACAACAACAGGTCAATAACAACAGGTCAACAACAACAGGTCAACAACAAAAGGTCAACAACAACAGGTCAACAACAACAGGTCAACAACAACAGGTCAACAACAACAGGTCAACAGCAACAGGTCAACAGCAATAGGTCAACAGCAATAGGTCAACAACAACAGGTCAACAACAAGAAGTCAACAAAAATAGGTCAACAACAACAGGTCAACAACAACAGGTCAACAACAATAGGTCAACAACAACAGGTCAACAACAATAGGTCAACAACAACAGGTCATCGACAACAGGTCAACAACAACAGGTCAACAACAATAGGTCAACCACAACAGGTCATCGACTACAGGTCAACAACAACAGGTCAACAACAAGAAGTCAACAACAATAGGTCAACAACAACAGGTCAACAACAACAGGTCATCAACAACAGGCTAACAACAACAGGTCAACAACAACAGGTCATCAGATCATTTGATCTACTGTTTGAGTTTTAATGAATATAGTTTGATCTAGGAGCTGGAAGATTTCCTGCTTGAATATGAGGATAAATACAATGCTCCCCTCAATACTATTATCATGAACTCATGTCTCTGGGATTTTAACAGGTGCTTGCAGATTATCAAGTATAATTCATACTAGCTTGGGAACCCAGCTTTGCCTGGAGGTTTCCCTAACAAAGTCAACCTACTCAAAATTTTGTTTTCAAACCAAGCTAAGAACAGACAAGCAAACAGAAATTACCACGTCATGGATATATAGAATGTAGAATGACCCTGTTCATTAAATATCGTTTTCACGGAAATTATAATAATGTCAACTTGACGAAGTTTGTTGACAAAAATGGAGAAAAAAAATAATTTTTATGAATTTATAGATTTTTCCCAATTCAGCGAATAAAACCCTTAAAATAATTTGGCACTCCGTACAAACATACTTAACCTTATTTAGCCTGACCTATGGTTGACTGACTGGATGCCTGGGGGGGGGGGTCAAATTTACCCCCTCCCCCTAATTTCTTATTGTGATACAATTTTATAACATTTGATACGCTTTTGGAAAGCCCTTGGGCTCTACCTCAATAATCTGCACAAAAAGGCAAAGTTGCAAAAATCCAAATTTTTATTGCAAAATCTAGTTATTTAGCATGAAATTGCAAACAAAAAAATTGCGCGAATTACAACAAATTATACATTTTTTTAAAGCCCTTGACCCAGCGAATTCAAATATGCAAAAACATTAACAAAATTTTTAAAACCTAAACGCGTATTTAAGAAAAACTGAAAGTGTAAATTTCCTTGTAAAGGTGTCTGCAAACTTTCTTTGCAATTTGCTTGGTTTTGTTATAGGCTTTCCAAAGAGCTATAAAATGTTAAAATCCAATGACTGGAAATAGGTCTAAATATAGATGTAGTCTGGTGTAGGTAAAATAGGCATTTAGGCAGTTTGCCTGAGGACATAGGCAGTAGGTATAAAAGCCCAGCTTTCAGCCTTAAGTGAGGGAAATGTGTTGGTTAGAAAAGCAAGAAAATTTTAGCTTCCTAGCTATAATACTTTTTGAGTTATCGCAAAAAAAAACGATGGGGGGGGGGGGTCCCCTCCCTCCCCCCAGGCCAAATAGGGTTAAATCCTGGGGAAAAAAAATTATTTAAAAAGAGGGGGGGTGGGGGAAATGATTTTCGAAGGAGAAGTGGTGGATAATGATTTTTCAAGAACATATACAGCCCTGAATAAAATACCCTCAGTCTCTGAAATTCAGTCATGAAAAATCACAAAAACCTAAATAAAATAATAATAATAAAAAGACTCATTTATTCATTATATTTTCTTTAAATTAGTTCTACGCATAAGTTGGGTAAGAATTAAAAAAGCAATCAAAATTTGTGTTAGCATTTTTGCCAAAATGTTTTATAAAAATAAATTATTTTTGTTTAGGTGGGGACCGTTCGGTCCTGATGAATATAAAACAAATATGAAGAAATTGATGGAGCTAATTCCAAAGGAACTCAAAATATATTTCTTTTCATCTCGGTTTCAGAGAAGCATTACAAAGGGGGGGGGGGGAGATAAGATCCTATGTTTTTATTATATTTTGAAAGCCGTTTTTGAAAACCTATTAATCATATTTTTGTGTTTTTACGAATTTTTTAATTACTTATTAAAATCAATAGACTGCAATCGGCATTTAATTTTGCCTAATCAACAAAAAGTAGCATTTTACTTGTTAAAACAAACTCTTAACTTGAGGCTCACATCTAGTTATCTCATTCTGAGGGGTTTGCTGGTTGGGTTACACTTAAAATACAAAAACGACTGTAAATCATAAATATTAAATAAGTTTTTTTCTTTTTCCATGTAGAGAAAATTAAATGTATTTTTTGCCTTGAAGGTTTTGACTGATGACGGAGAGTTTATCTGGATTACCTGTCCCATGGGTAAAATCATAATTTATTAAACCCAGGGGCGGATACAGGGGAGAGCCAGGGAGCAATGACTCGCCCTAGAAAATTGCCCAACGGAGTGGGCAGTAACTGAAAATGGAGAGATTTTGGTAACCCCTAGTATTCGCCCCGGTCATACTTAAATCTTTTGCCTGTCTGTGGGGTTGATTTATTTGTCTATTTATCTATATCTTCTTCTCTATTTATCTATCAATATATCTATCTACCAATTTATCTTAATTCCTTTTTTAGTTATCGTAATGATCGAAAGTATCTATTTATCTGTATTTTTCTATACCTATCTATGTATATTTATTCATCATTACCTGTATGTTGTTTATCTATATATATCCGTCAATATCTTTCCATACCTTTCCATTATCTATCCATCTATCTATATCCATCTATTTAGATCCATCTATCTAGATCCATCTATCTATATCCATCTATTTAGGTGCACCTGAATTGAACAGTAAAGGAATGAATGTCCCCGGCCTTGAATTTCAATGCTTCACCTCTAGATACAACGTAATTGAGGTAAAACGTACAATTAATAAAAGTTTTTTCTTCTAAATCTAAAATATATTAGATGAAGACCCCCTTCAGTTTTGTTTATCATGAATATCTCTGCATGTAATGAATGGTGCCCTGAATGCAGTCTGAGCCCGAAATTTAAAAGAGTATCGTTGAACGAAACCTTCCGGTTTCCTTTTTTGGGGTCTTAACATTTGTGTACATTTTGATTTAAGAGATTCGAAAAAATGAAGAATATAAAGAAACTAAATAACATAATATTTCATAACAAAAATATTATTATCCACAAAACTGCCTAAACCCATCCGTGAGTTTCAAAACTGGTTTTCATAACGATACCCTGTTTTAAGTTTTGGGCTCTGGGGGTTCCACGCTGAGGTTCCTATTCAGATTTACTCTTGACTTGATCTAGAACATGTCCAGAAATATTTACCACCCCCTCCCCTCTCTTCAAACAAACATTCCCAAGGGACCCCCCCCCTCCCCCTCTTTACTTTTCATAGTAGAATTGAGGGAAATCAGTGGTTTTAAGTAGACATAAATGAATTAAAGTTAAATAAAGTATTTCAAAGAAGGAACAAAATTTCCATCTGAAGTCCTTAAAATATTTCCGTTTCTCCGTTTTATTTTCTAAAATGATAGTTAATAATCTCGATCAATATTCCCGTTTTATTTTCTAAAATGATAGTTAATAATCTCGATCAATATTCCCGTTTTATTTTCTAAAATAATAGTTAATAATCTCGATCAATACTCCCGTTTTATTTTCTAAAATGATAGTGAATAATCTCGATCAATATTCTCGTTTTATTTTCTAAAATGATAGTTAATAATCTCGATCAATATTCCCGTTTTATTTTCTAAAATGATAGTTAAAAATCTCGATCAATATTCCCGTCTTATTTTCTAAAATGATAGTTAATAATCTCAATCAATACTCTAGGCAAATTTTGTTGCTGCGCAAGCTGTATCAAGTGCGGGGTATGGTGTTGTAGATATTCACTACGCTCTCCAGATGCAGACCTACAGGTTAGTATGTACAAAGTGTACAGAACGATACAATACATAGTGTACATACTTAATCACTGGTCTAAATGAATTATGGTTATATTGTTGTGTTTGGACATATCAGAAACTGTTGAATTTTGAAGAGCCTTTAAGCGTAATTTCAAGTAACTCTCCATGCAAAAATGCCTGATTCACAACGGTAACCGTGAACCCTTCATCTGAGAAATAATGTTGAAGATATTGTCGTTTTTCTAGGTTTAAAAATGTTTAATTTTGATAATTTCTTAATGTTTTCCTGCAGTAGAAATGCGTAAGTTACTATTGCATAGAAACCACAATTGAGAATAATCAGTTTTCAAAATCATAAACATTGATATCTAATACGTACACAATACACATATATACTCCGTTAGATTTTTACTCAAAATGGCTTTTCGACTTTTTGTTAAATATTAACAAAAATAAAAACTTTAATTCATGTTTTTATAGAGGACGTAAGGTTAAACTCTAATGAAACGCATCAAGTAACTTCCAGTATATATATTTCTTATAACTTATTACTAGAGGGTTCAGAACATCAGTTGATATCAATATCACACGTGTAGATCTAAAGTACAATGCCCCGTATCCGTTCTATCTCATTCTTGTGGATATTGGTTTAGGCGGCTAGGTATCGTCTTAATTATTTTTTTTCTGTTCAGACGTAATCCTGATGGAATACATTGGGATTCAGGAGCTAATCGTTTGGTTTCGAACCTTGTCCTCACACATATATCCCTAGCTAGGCATGGAGAAGAAGGACTTCCCGGCAGAATATCGGTAAATTCGTCATTTTTGCCGTTTTGGGATACTTTTTCGATTTATTTTTGCATTGAATAATTATGACCTCCTTTTATTCGATGCAAGGTATAAGCTGGAAAAGTTAAAAAATGGTAGAGGGGGGGGGATATAACCTTTTCTTACTTTTAATTTTAATCTGAACATTTCTTATCTCTGAATATGTAATTTTCTTTAACACACTTTTACAATTTTAAGGAAAACCTCATTTTCTCTTACTCTTCAATTAACGTAACATGCGAAATAAATTTGAGCTGTGGAGTGTTAACTGAACAATTCATTCCCACAATTTCATTTCTCAGTTATATCTATTTTCAGTTTCTGCAGTTTGACATTATTTGATTTTAGGACGATTTTGCTCTGAAGTTGGTAAAACTGAAAGCCAAGGTGGCAAAGGAAGGAGCAGTTTGTCAAGAGGAGGTTGAGGAGAAACTGATAGAGCTTCAGAACCTTCCTATTCTCCAGGTAAGAAAGCAAGGAAGGAGCAGTATATTTGAGGAGAAACTAATGGAGCTTAAAATCTTAACCTTCCTGTTCTCCAGGTAAGAAAGCAAGGAAGGATCTGTAAATCAAGAGGTTGAGGAGAAACTAACGGAGCTTTAGATCTTAACCTTCCTTTTCTCCAGGTAAGAAAGAAAAGAAGAAGCAGGACATCAAGAGAAGGTTCGGGATAAGCCAAAGCAGCTTCAGAACCTTCCTATTCTCCAGGTAAGTAAGGAAGGAAGGAGCAGTTTGTCAAGAGGAGCTGGAGGTGAAACTAAAGTAGCTTCATAACCTTCCCATTCTACAGGTAAGTAAGTAAGGAAGGAAGGAGCAGTTTGTCAAGAGGTGCTGGAGGTGAAACTAAAGTATCTTCAGAACCTTCCTATTCTCCAGGTAAGTAAGGAAGGAAGGAGCAGTTTGTCAAGAGCTGGAGGTGAATCTAAAGTATCTTCAGAACCTTCCTATTCTACAGGTAAGTAAGGAAGGAAGGAGCAGTTTGTCAAGAGCTGGAGGTGAAACTAAAGTATCTTCAGAACCTTCCCATTCTCCAGGTAAGTAAGGAAGGAAGGAGCAGTTTGTCAAGAGGAGCTGGAGGTGAAACTAAAGTATCTTCAGAACCTTCCTATTTTACAGGTAAGTAAGGAAGGAAGGAGCAGTTTGTCAAGAGCTGGAGGTGAAACTAAAGTAGCTTCAGAACCGTCCTATTTTACAGGTAAGAAAGGAAAAAGCAAGACAAGGTTAGTTTAATGAATGTATATATTTTTCTATCTGTTTATATCATGTTATAAAACTGATCAGATGTAATTCTCAAAGCTGTCAACATTTAAAAAATTATAAATGAAAATAAGAGTATATTCTATACAAATATTGTTTCTTTAGACGGATGAAGATGATAAGGTTGGGTTCCAGGAGTGCAGGATGAATGTAATGGCAAAACTCCAGGAGCTGAAGCACCTGGAAGCCACTAGGAGTAGGAAGAATGAGTACAAGGGTAACTTACCTCAACCTAGTTACATTAAGGAGAACAGATTTCATCCTTACAGTAGACCAGGAGTACCAGTCTGGGATAAACCAGCGGCTAATGGAGACATGGAAATGGGTGGTATGGTAATGAACGGGTTGGGAATGGCTGGTACAGGAATGAACGGGATGAGAATGGGTATTGCAGGAATGAACGGTATGGCAATGTCGAGAGGAATGAATATTGGAGGGGTCAGCATGGGAATGGGAGGCGGTGGTTTAAATATGGGTATGGGAACAAACAACATGGGAATGAACATCCGAATGGGAATGGAATCAGAATTGGTGTCACCACGGATAAATGGGAATACAATCGATAACCACGGAATCGGACGACGACGTGAGGACTCCAACATCTCGCAGGAAAATTGCTTCAGTGATGACACGCCTATAAACTTCTTAAACTTTGAGTCAGATCCGGGTGGTAGAAACACCAGTGATACAAGTGTTACTCCATGGTTCCAGGATACTAGGAGCAGACCAACCTTCAACCCAACAGCTCCGTTCCCTGATCTGAATTCTAGCTATTCAGAAGTTTCCTTAACTCCTCCTTCAGAACAACAGCTACGCCTTCAAGAGATAGATATAAAGGTAGGGGTTAACATTTTCCTACTTTCACCCCCACCCCCCCGCATTATGATTCAGCAGACGACAATATAACTATTCCATATTTATAGTGTACACTAGGGTGTCCACTGTCTACAAATCATTGCTAATGTAAGAATAACGTGCGTGATGCTCGCGGTAACTTTTTCCATTGCACTACATACTGTGAGTAATTTCTGAAACTTTCAGGTCGATAGCTTTAAAATTTGATTAGATAATTGCCTCCAAAGTTTTATTTGATTGATTAATTGACTGATTGAAACCACCTATTTAAAGGTTCGTGAGAAGGTATTGAGGTACACGCGCGACAATGGAGAGAAACCTCCTGATCAGATGGTAGATATCTGGACACGTCAGATACAGGTGGGCCTGGCCCGGGGAATATTTTATCGCATTTTTAAAACATATTTTTTGTTTGAAGAACAACCTTTTCAGATATTTTAACGTTAAAATATTTTGTTGCTCTGCGAAATAATTGGAGAAAGTGCACTTTTTAGGCAGTGTGGAATGATTTAAAACAAAATTTTTAAACAGCTATTTTTAAACAGCTATTTTTAAACAGCTATTTTTAAACAGCTATTTTTAAACAGCTATTTTTATGAAAAAATGTTTTTATTTTTATTCTGTTCAATTTAGGAATCCGTGATGAATCCGGTCGGAAACATGATGCAACATGGAGGCATGCACATGCAGGGTATGCAAGGAATGCAGGGTATGCAAGGAATGCAGGGTATGCAAGGAATGCAGGGTATGCAAGGAATGCAGGGTATGCAAGGCATGCAGGGTATGCAAGGCATGCAGGGTATGCAAGGCATGCATGGTATGCAAGGAATGCAGGGTATGCAAGGCATGCAGGGTATGCAAGGCATGCAGGGTATGCAGGCATTTGAAGATCCATTCCAGTCTCTTGGTAACATGATGAACCCTATGACGAACCAGCGTGGTTTTGGCACCTATATGGATGGCGTGTCTGTGTTCAACAACATGGATCAAGGAAACTACGCACTCAATCACCATCAAGGACCTATCATTAGGTTCGGTAGAGGAGGCAGGAGATAGTTTAACTCATTCTAAGGAAATAAGCTGAAATAGTTTTAGCTGATCCCGTTCATTAAGCTTAAGTGATTGAACTAGATCAAACGATCTTATATAAACTATGAACAGTTGATTTCATTGAAGTTGATATTTTTAATGTTTTTTTTTAAATTTATATCGTGATCTAATGAAAGTATTTTTTGTACTGCTTAACGTACCTAAACATCGTCAAGGGATATATATTTTTCTGACTTCCCCCTAACCAAGTTATAGTAAATAAAAAGAAAATTTAGAAATGTATTTAAAGGGATGGTGGGGNTCTAAATTATCATTGGGGGAGACTGTAGAAATAGTTCCAAGTGGCCAAGCGGATCCGGATCCGTTGGATCCGCAAGATTTTGGCTTCCTGGACTTACACACACATATATTATCTTCTATATTTAAATGACGTGTTCAGTTATGCTTTTTCTAAGAAAAACGACGATATCTTCCCCATAGTTACTCAGAAAGGGAATCGTTGTGTATCGGTAAAGCCACTCTTTTTATAAAGGTTCACTTGAAACCTATGTCTTGGGTACTTATGCTAAATATATATCCCTGAATTAAAAGTCGCAAATTCATTCTAGTGAAAATCCGTCACATATGTATAATACTTTAGCCAATTGAAGGTACCTGTATAATATATTTTCTACTCTTTTCATATATTCATAATTATATCATATCTGTTCGGTTCCATAGTAGTAAACCTTTCGTGGAAGAATTCCCATTATTACGCGGTTCAGGAGAAAAGTTTCCTATATTGTTTGCTTCCAAGCGTTACAATGGGGGTTTCGAATTTTCATTCTTTGACGCTCAGACCGTGTAAGGATAGAAATTATTACACGGTGAGAGCGTGAAAGAATTTATATTCTTACACGCTCCAAGCATTATTACACAAGTTAAAGAATATACACTCTTACACGTTCCTTATATTGATCTTTTCAATATTGACTAATTATTAACTTAATTATTTTGTACTGACAACATGCACACTGCACAGGGCACACGCAAAATTCCTTTTCTTTTTTAGAAGTATTGATATACCTTAATTCAGAAATTTTCATTCAAATATTGACCTAGCTTAGACCTTACTTTATAGGGGAAGGGGGACCCCCTTCCACTCTAAACTCCAAACTAACTAAGGAAACAATCACACTATTTACAAGTAAGGAACAAATTTTTTACTTACAAAAGGTATTTTAACATTTTACCATGTAACATTAGAAAAAAAAGTAATAGTCAGGACAAGAGCATAAGTGAACTATAAAAACTTATTTGGAACCCTACATCATGTCAATTGTTCCAACTTGATTAAAGTCGTATTTAACACGAATTTTTGAAAATATAAAATCTCGCGGAACCTCACAAATATGATAAAATATTAGTCTTATGAGGATAAAAATGTAATAATGGAATTCTTGAACTCAATGAAATAATCATGATGCATTCTTTCATCTCTTTTAAGAATTTCCATTATTATATTTTTTTTTAATAAGATATTTTCATATCATGTAAATTTGCAATATTTTTCAGAATGATGTCGGAATGGTAAAAATTAATGATTTGACGGCTGGGCTACGAGCTCCGGCGTTCTGGGCCGGGCTTACCGCCGGTTTGGCCGGATCGGCGATTTTGTACAAAATGTTCGGCCCGCCGGGCGCTGATGGAGACGAGGATGAAGATTCAGACGATTCCGCGGGTATGTAATATATAATAATACTTGTTTGCGCAGTACATTCTGGATACTGTGGTTATTTCGAAAATGACCGTTTTGTATACCATAATTTACAGAGATATTATTTTTAATTTATGTTAATAATTAAAATCACATGTAGATTTTCTACTATAAATACGATTAGCCCCTTTAGATCATTGATTTTTCCCAAGTCAGAGGAAAAACATAGTTATCATCTAGCAGAACAATTTCTTTTCAAGAGGGGAATATCGCCCTCGAGTCTAACATTAAAATTAGCGAATCTTATATTCCTCCTTTTGATTCTATTTGAATTCCGTGCAAAATTGAAATTATTAAAAAAATATATATTTGTTCCCGATAGTTTGCACATCTGGGGACGAGAGTGAGTACAGCGGGGATGAGGACGAGCAGGACATGAAGATGGTCTTGGTAGTCCGGAACGATCTTAAGATGGGGAAAGGAAAGGTAAGCGGACCAGCAGGACATGAAGAATGTAGATTGTCATGAAAGGAGGAACAATCTCTAAATGTTGATTAAGTTTAACGTCTAAATTAGTATCTCAGGACTAAAAACATGTCTCAACCATTCCATAATTGATAAATCATCCTAGGGTATATTTTTGATATATAATTTAAAGTCACTATTATTAAGGCAGCGGCGCAGTGCTGTCATGCTACCCTAGCGGCTTATAAGCAGGTAAAAATACTTTTTTTAATATTGAAATTGAATTTTCAGTTTTATAAAAATTCAAGAAAATAATAATTATGTTTAATTCATAACCCTTATACTTAAACTTATCTGGATTTCCGCCGAAACAAATTTAGACAATGTGGAAATGTGGGGGACTTGACGTCCAGAACCACCCTTCCATGTTTTTTTTGGCACAATTGCCTTTTAGCATTTCTTAAGGTATATATAAAGTAAACATTGAAAAAAATCGGTATATAAGAAAATATTTTCAAAAATCTTTGAATTACATTTTTTTAGGCGAAGAGAAAAAATTCTTCTTGGCTGAGAACATGGGAATGCAATGGACAACCAAAGGAACAGTAAACATTGTTGAATTATTGTAATGAAAGATACATGATTACAAGGAATATATCAGGAACTTCTATATAGGTGTTTACATTATTATTATTATTATTATTATTATAATTCAATGTACAGTCAAAGTATTATTTCCTGTAGGTTGAGCTCCAGGGTGGAGCTCCTTGCCACTAACCCTGTCTGTTGGGTTCCAGTAAATAATATCCCACCGTGAATAAAACTACTTAAAACTTAAAGGTGTACTGCAGTTTCTGTGGAAAAATATTAACAAAACTCGACCTAAGTAGTGCGCAGCACCGAATTTGTTTACAGGCTTCCATCAGAAACCGCAGTACACTGTTTACGATGAAGGCGTTCCTGATATATTCCTGGAATAATGCAATCCGAAGATAAAGTAAACTCTCGTAACAAGTTCAGAGATTGCAATGCCCGCTTCACAACGAACCCTTGTAACCGTTATCTGATCAGTAATTGTCATTTTCTTAGTTTTAAAACTGTTTAATTCTTTTAATTCTTATTTATTTTCCTGCAGTAGAAATATAAAAAATAATCAGTTTTTAAAGTTGATAACATGGATAACTAATTCATACTTGATCAGACAAAGCCTTTAAGGGTACCGTTGTGAATCAAACATTTCTATTGCATGGAGGATCACTTGAAATTGCGCTTACATTTTCAATAAGTTAAAAAAAAATTTCGGTACTTTTTTTGTCTATTTAATTCTTATAACGTTAAAATGTTTTTTTTTTACTGTTGAATTGTTAGGTTACTCTGAAATGTGAATCTGAAGACGACCTACACACTCTGCTAGCTCAGGTGTGATGTCACTTTTCCGTAAATTTGTCCATGCATATTTTCATAATCTTTTTTTATAACCTTAGTTTTTATTTTAAATATCCTTATTCGTTTTTACCGTTTTACCCTTTTTAGACCCCCAATATACTGATTCTCGGGTCCATCAATCAATATATCACTAAATAAAACTCACACCTTGCTTTTTTGAATAGCACAGTAATAACCTGAAAACAATTGAAAATTGTAATAATTTACTGTATTTAATATTTTTACAAAGCAAATAGTTTTACTGGATAATTATCAAATCATTAATTAAATGAAATGGGTCTGATGTACACTGCTTAATTGCTGTGTTCCATGTTTATTGGACTATTTAAAGCCAGAACTTGAGTTTAAACATCATCTACCTATTTCATAATTTTCTGATTATTACTGTATTGGTACTACAATAAGTACTCCTGGATATTCTCACCTCCCCCCCCCCCTTTTTAGGAAACTAATTTTTCCCCCGGGTGTTAAATATGTTTTCTAAATTTTGGGAAATAAATTAACTTTTGTAGTCTCTTAAAAGATGACAAATATGTCAGTTGATTTCCACCTTTTTACCCCATAGCGTCGAATTTCTATATTTTAATATTTTCAGCAACGGACCCCTAGTGAGGGGGGGGGGTGTGATTATTGAAAATCTGGTGGGGGGAGAATGAAAAATGGGACTTCAAAAGGGGGAAGTTTTTAATTCTTATTGATACTTCATTTATTTTCCCCTAAAAATCATTAATTTCCCCCAATTCAGAAAATAAAACCTTAAAAAAAATATTGATAACTTTCTGAGAAAATTTTTTTTTTTAAATGGGTGGGGAAAATAAACACCCCTTCTGTAAATATTTAAAAAACTATTATAAGGCTCGGAGTGTGGGACTAGTCAGTGCAGTCATTGCGGATGCAGGCAGAACACAGATAGCTCCAGGTGCAGTTGGTTGGTTGGTTGATTGTATGATTGGTTGTTTGGTTGGTTGGTTGTTTAGTTAGTTGGTTGGTAGGTTGGTTGGTTGGTTGGTTGGTTGGTTGGTTGGTTGGCTGGGTGGTTGGGTCGGGTCATCACATTTTGATCGAACAATTTATTTCATCACTTGATCAATAAACTATTACCAATTAATCGATCAATTAAATGCAGGAAGTAAAACAGTTCTAGCAGTTGGTCCTGGTCCAGGGGAACTGGTAGATCAGGTATTTAACCAAGAAATTTTTCACACGGCAGGCATTTCATTTTGGTGCGGATCCCAATCCCCCCGGGGAAAAATGGATTCGGATCCAGGTCCTGAATATTTTTTGCTTTTTTTTAACTAACAATTCAGACATTTTTATTAATCTTCTGTTGGATTACAAATAAGATTTGTTTTTTGAGAGCAAAAGCTATTTAGCAAGCTTTTACCCCTTGGATCTGGATCCGGGAATCCAGATCCGGATCAAGGGAGCCAAGACTTTGCGGATCCAATAGATCAGGAGACAGATCCTAAGCAGTGAAGGCAGGGGTATTAATTTTGTCAAAAAATATTTTTTTTTATATCCTCAGCCTCATTTTCAAAAAATAATTAGGTTTCTCTAGTATGCCAGGAAGGTTTATGTTGCAACATGACCTCTGTCACGCGGTTATATACAGGGTGTCACCAAAAACATGGGAATTCAATGACAATTTAATTCACAGTGATTAAGCCTGCTTATAAACAGTCTCATTAATTCTTTAGACAGGGTTGACTTTGAAATGTCGCAACACCTTGGGTATAGATTTTATCGCTCTAACTCACTTATGCTTTTCTGTAGCCTGTACATGTACATTTATCACTACTAATCACTTGTTGTTAGCTTTGGTTATAAAGAAGTAATTGGAAAAATTCTCATCAAGAATAATTTGAGAAAGTTCTTGTTTTGTTCAACAAATCAGTAAATCTTAAAGGGACAGACCGGCTATGTAAGTTAGTTAAACTGAGTGTGCAGTGTTGTGAACAAATTTTTAAAGACTCATTTGAGACATATTAAACTTTTCCACGATGTATAATTACTGAGTTTGAGCGCAAATTCGACTTTCAAAATCATTAATTTGGGTGGGTACGTTTTCAGAATCGGTTTTTTAAAATAATAAAATTACGACGACGAAAAATAAAGTAAAGATTATACAGTAAACCAAGTAGGTGGTTGGGAAAATATTTCTCAACAGAAATTTGTCAATAAATCAATGCTAAAATTAATTATTTCGTTTTCATCATTAAATTGAATTTTTTACTTTATGAATTTGTTCGCAGATTTCTACAAACTCTTCAAATGCCGTCTTTTGAATAATAATTCCAGAAAATCTGCAGTAAATCCTTGTTAATAATGAGATAATATAAACTAATAATTGAACAAGAATACTTATTTTCGATGATAAGATTAAATATATAAAAAATTCTGAAAACGTATCCACCCAAAAGTACGATTTTGAACGTCGACTTAGTGCTCAAACTCAGGATTCAAAGATCTTTTAAAAGTTTTATATGTCCACAACACTGCATACTCAGTTTATCTACCTTACATAGCCGGTCTGCCCCTTTAAAGAAATGTTCATGACCTGGATCCGTATCCGCATTAAAATAAATTGGATCCTAAGTACTGTCCCAACCCCTCTATTCTCAGTTGGTTGGCAATAGTAAACGTTTTGTTCGAATTAGCATAAATAAACTTGCGGACACTTGGAAAGAAGGATTTTAAATTTAAAGCTTAAGCTTCAAAATTGTTAATACTATTTTCTTTTTCTGCGTGATTCTCGATGGTTCACAATCAAAATTGAAGCGGAATAAGGGGGGGGGGGGTATAGAATGAACCCTTTTAAGTCTACCACTGACTTGATTTCAATATATTTTAGATTACTGGGCATTTAAAGCTGTACTAACCCTGTTCTTCAACCTCACAACACATCCAGTGAAACCATCAAGCTTCATTAGTTTATTAGTTCATTATGTACTGCTTATTGCTACTGAATTAATAAGTAGAGTGTGTACAATTTATGTACATTTTCATTGTGTACATTGTACATTGCACAACATTATGTACTGCTTACAGCTACTGAATTAATTAGTAGTCACTAGTGTTTATAATTTATGTACATTGTCAACATTACGTGGTGCCACTGAATTAATTAGTAGTCTCTAGTTTGTACTGAATTTATGTACATTTTTCTTCTTGTACATGTTACAACTTTGCCATATCATTATCATAAGAGTTGAAGAAAGATTGTGCTATAAAATTGATTCTATTGTTATTTTTTAAATATTTTCATAAGAATGGATTTGGGAGAGATTAACAAAGTTATACTTGGTAGTTTAAGTAAGCTTCTTAACATCAAGACACCAAGTACTATATCCACGGAGTTAGTCAAAAGTATTAATAGGTAAATTATTTTCTTTTTTTAGTAAGTACTGTGATAAAGTATAAATCTCTGATGTATATCCGATCATAACTCATGAATCCTTTTATTTGCTTCAAATTTTGATTCAAGAACTCATTAGAACCACGGTAATATTCTTAGTCTGGTTTAAATATTCATAGTTAAAAGGACTGTCAAGGTAAAATGAAAGGGGTTGTAGGCTGAAGCCTAGAACGTTTAGGAGTTAATCACGATCATTGCCATTGGTGGAAATTCTGTTCACGTGATACAGTCGTAACTATGATATTAATAATTATATATAATTATAAAAATTAATGAGTATTATATTCAAATTATAATTGGAGCTAACCTATAAATTTTAGGCACCTCTGGGTCATCGTAACTTTTAGATTTGTTCTGTATTTGCTAAATATGATCTGTCTATAACTTTCATTTATTCACCATATTACATATCAATATCACATATTTGTGCGCTAATGCATAAGATATTTTAGTAAGTTAAGTGGAGGACGGAATAAGTCAGGAAAACTGGAAGATCTATTTCATCTTCTTCAAACCCTCGGCATTGAAATCTCCCATATTAATATACAAAAGGTTAGGGAAAATTTGAATTTAAAATAAACTGAAATTTCTTGTTTAAATGGTAGGTAGGAACTGACATTTTTTTATTTTCTCAAAATCTTTGATTAAGTTTTGTCTCTTGTCAATAATTGGCTTAGAAATTAAACGATCCAAACTGTATTTGATTTCAACGAATTCATTGGTAATTGCAGATTTTGGTTGATTGATTGATTCATTACTTTTATTCACTGATTCATTAATTTATTGATTCGCTGATTGAATCACTGATTTACTAATTGACTAACTGATTACTTCAATGAGTGACTAATTGATTGACTGATAAATCGATTGATTGATTGATTGATTAATAAATCAATAAGATAGTTAGTTTATTGATTGATTAATTGATTGGTTGATTGATTGTTGCAAGGTTGCAGCTAAAGATGACCTTCACAGCTACCTCCTCTTGGATTTCTTGAATTTATTGTTGGAAACTTTATTCTCGGATAATCCTCAAGCTTTTAGTCAACTTATTCACAGGTAGTTTTTTTGTACTTGCGTAAAGGGACTGACTTAGTAATTTGACGTGGGCCTCCAGTGTGGACCTTGCCCAATTCACAATGGTACCCTTTTACTTGTTTTATCTGATCAACGATGGGGAAGACAAAGTCGGTTTTTTTATCTTTATAAGTGTGTAATTCTTGTAATTTCCTTGTAGTATAAATCTGAAAGTCCTTTTTCAATTCAAAAACAACAATAAAAGAAAGGGATCTTTAAAAAGTAAAGCATTGGTTGTTCATTCATTTAATCATTCATTTAGCAAAGCTTATTAACTCGGATAAAATTGAGTGATAGTAGAAATTACTTCTGCAAGTACACGCCCTTGAAAACTTTTTTTCTTTTCTCCCTTATTTACGTTTTACTGTTTTACGTGTAAGCTTTTTATTTATTTTATAGATTTTAACAATTTAATTTAAAAAAACAAAAATGTTAAAAAAATCTGCGAGATATTTTGTATTTAATTGTCTAAAACCTAAATTTTTATTTTTGATTAACATCTAATATTTTTTAAAGTTTGGACCAAGAATCTATTCGCCGCCGAGGCGGAGACTTTTCCCTGAGTTCCTCTAGTGAGCCAGAGTTTGGCGGAGCCACCACTAGCGGCGGAGAGGAGGTTGTAAGAATATTGGCAGAAGCTCGCCGGAAATATGGACGAATTCGAAGTTTTCGGGAAAAGGAGCGTATACTGAATTTGAGCAATCTCTTTTTAAACCTTTCTCGGGGATACATTTTCCTGAAAAATCATCCTTTCCTTCTATTAAATTAAAGATATTATATCTACAGGTTTATTGGTGACGTTTTTTGCCGAATGGGTAAATTTCTGTAAGGTTTGGGAAAAGTGAAATAAGGGTATTAATCGAAAAAGTTTTATCTCATCACCCATTCCCCTGCCGCCTTCCCCCCCCCCAAAAAAAAAAATTATTATTAGAATAATAAATTCACGAATGGTTGAACAAGAGGATTTAGTTCTCATATTTTATCACCCAAGATTAGTTTGAGCTTAATAAATGTTAAGGTATTTGGCAAGTTTTAAGGTTGAAATAAAAAATTGGAAACAGGAAAAAAGAACGATTTTATTTGAGTATACCCCTTGTACAGATTGATGCAGAGAATATAAGTTTGATTCAGAAACCTAAACCAGCAGAACACCATGTCTCAGAGGTTACAAATATAAAATTAAAGTGACTACTACATAGTACATTAGCGTAATTTCATGTGACCCTTAATTCAAAAATGGCAATGTCCGATTCACAATGGTACCTTAAAAGCTTTATTAGATATAAATAATTTTGAAAACTGGTTATTTTCAATTGTGGTTTCTACTGCAGAAAAACATATGGATATTCGACAGAAACACAAACATATAAAAACGACAATAACGTTTATAATCTTGATCAGATAAAGGTTTAAAGGGTTTCGTCGTAAATCAGTCATCAATACAGTTGTAAGCGATTATATCAATACAATGAAGACCACTTTTTTGTTTTGATAGTAAACAAGTTTTTTCGAAATGCAAGTTTACAATTAAATAAAAGAGAAGCTTTTTTAATTGGCAACTTCTCTTGACTTCTATGTTAATGTATCCATGCTGTTTAACAGCTTGATAAAAATTGAAATCGAAAGTCGTCTTCATTGTATTGATATAATCGCTTACCACTGCATCTTTCCATTGAAGGTCACTAATGGTCTCTAAGAATCAAATAAAGAACTAATTAAAATGTAGAAATTCTAGAAAAAGATATGTTTATTGTTTAAAGGTTGATCACGCACCAGTTGATAACGTGTCTTCTCGGAACCAATTCCCTCCACACAAAATCCGCGGATTAAATATCCCTCCAAAAATCCGGGAATCCAAAATGACGTTAAAATCGCAGAAACTTTATCAGTCAGAATTCAGTTCCAGCATCACCCTTAGTTCTTACAGTTCCAGCAGTAGTTCATCTAGTTCCCGAGGGTCAAGAAGTACGTCTAGATCATCATCTAGCACCGTAGAAAATGTTAACCCAGGAATAAGAAAGCAAAGATTAAAGAAAAACTCAAAAGAAGAAATGAAGGTGTTGAATAAGAATGATAAAGACGGAAATGAAGAAAATGAAGTTAATGTAAGAATCCCTTTGGAAGAAGCAAGTATTAATGTAAAGGTAATAAAATAGTATTCTTTGGTTAGCTTAAGTATAATATTAATTGTGTGATTTCGGGCTTGCGTATATTTTAGAACTTATGTCCAAGCTTCGAAGGGCAACTTCTTCACATTCAATATGATAAAATATATTTATTTTTTTTTCAATTCCAGATAAATCCCTAATCGTTCAATTTCTTACAAGTTTAGAAAGGTTGGGCCGGTGGAATTTGAAAGAAAAATATTGTGAAAATAAATACTGCAATTTGTGTTGTTATGGAACATTAAAAATGGCAATACACAAAACATTGCAGGCATTTTTATATTTATGATTATTTCATTGAAGTCTAAATTATTGGAAATTTTATTATATTATTGGATATTAGGTGGAAGAAGAGATAACGATTTATATTGAAATATTAAGTTGAAATTATTCTTGTTTTTTGGAGGAGTTAGATATGTGAGAGAAAAAAATTGAGTTACGTATTTAGAATTATATTTCACAATTTTTTCTTAGATTCGCAGTGACACTGCAGGAGTAAACTTAAAAAACAGACGAATTCATATCAGGTAACAAACTTATTTTTAGATTTTTTTTTCAAGTATCTTTTACAAAAATGTTTAATTTATTTAAAAATTTTAATTATATTTTTCGTCGTAACTTTTAACTGTGGATTCTAATCAAAAGTATATGTAACTGAACTTCCCTCTAGGGCACTAATACCATGCGATGTATTGATAAAGTGTTTCAAGCATTGACAATATAAGAGTTCCCACATCTGGTCAGTTAACCACAATATTGTGCATTAACATTTTTTCTCTAGATTACAAGAAGCTGAATCCCCAAAGAGGAGTAAAAAGGTAATGTATGGATCATCCTCCGTCCTCTTCCATCATCACAGGAAGAGTCGACCTCCAATGTTCTCGAAAAAGATGGCGACCCCAAGATTGGATGATAAAGAAGTTTTGACAAAGGCTGTTAAAGTTATTAAAAAACGAAAGCGGGATGAAAAAGAAGTAGAAGACATAAAGGAGAATAAGAAGGTCAAAACAGGGGAAAATGTAAGATTGGAAACACAGAAGTATTTGCGAGAAATACGAACTAGAAATGGACAACTTAAAAAACTTGCTTCTGAAATTAAGAAATAGTTCATTTTTATCTACTTAATTCTCTCAACTATGTTACCTATTTTTTGTCGTTTTTGAACGCATTTACTATGGCAAAATATTTCATTGGTTTTTTGAGCGAAAAAAATCTAGTTTGAAGTATACAAAGCTGGAAAACTGAGAAAATTAAATGACATAACTTCATTAGACTAGGATTTCCATTTATTTATTTTTTATGTTATTGGAACATTTTTCTCACTATCAACTCATTAAGGTGTTTTAAACTGCTCTGGTTCAGCAAAAATTGTTTAAGAGTAACAATTGCTCACAATTGAGGTGGAGGTGATTTAGATGTTAAAACTTCAAACAAAGTCGACCACCATAAAACTCTACATTGTTATAGCAGTTAATGCATATTTTGGACCTGAAATCGTTTTTAACATCTGTGTACTGTATTTTCAGCTTCCTAGTCATTATCCTTACTTTTATGTGATCTCTTTTACTGGAGAAAAGATGATAATCAAAACAAATATGGGTAAAAACGTAAATAATTGTACAGAAAACATTTATCTGGAATCATCAAGAAAGGTTTATTTTTGTCAACACTTAAATTGAAAGTAGCATTTTATAATTATTTTTATAGCAGTGCAAGTAGAACAAGGTTTTTTTTATACTGTGGCATGCTAAGACAGCTAAGAAACTAGTTTTTTGCTGGACAACAATGTTTTTGTAATAGGCTCTGAATTCTTGTATCAGACTGAAGGCCAAAAACATTTAATGTTCATTAAACTAGTCCATAAACTGTCAAAATGCATCTCAGTATTATGTTAACAAACCATGTAATTACTCCTTAATTTATAGCAAATTATGGTTTTCATTTTAAAATAATCAATTCTCAAAGTTTTTTCTATTTTTTATTTATGTTGCCAAATGTATTGTTAAATTTTCACATAATGTAAATATGCAGTTGATAGGTAGATAAATAGATATTAGATAGACAGTAGATAAAACATTTAATGAGATTATATAAGTTATCACATTAAGTTGAACAGGGTTTAGCTGTTCTAGAGAAATGAGCTGGATTTGGGTGCCAAGCTCATTCATAAATGATTTGGTTTTGACAATGTTGAATTGGTTATCAGTTGATATTTCAGATGAGATTTCCAAATGAGATTTCAGATAAGAATTTCAAATTAGATTCCATTCTCTTGGTTAATTAAATTTTCTGATGACAAATTTATTGAATTGCCAATTATCACATCAACTGGTATTTCCTTCCCTGAAACAAAGTTTAGTTTTTAAAACAATCATTTTTTATAATTTTCATACAATTTGAAATTTACCTTTGTGGTGCTGTGACGTTCATCTTCACTCCCGCTGTCACTGTCATGAGGGTCGACTAGAGGTTCTGCATTGAGAAGAAGGTTATCTTTGCTAGGAGCCGGAGCATGACCTAGTAGACGTGTAGCTCCACGTTGTCTTGTGAACATATTGGCAAGCTTGGTAAATTTCTGTTTTGACTGTTTCCCCATATTTCTTAGTTTCTCTCTAAATGCAGCGTCATCCATCCCTAGACTTCCTTTTTTGGCACCTAGTTCCTGGGGTTTATCTAGTTCATCCTCTTCTAGTGTTGAAAGGAACTCATGGTTACCCCGAAGTTCCATCATAAACTCCTCATTCTGGAGCATTAGTGCAAATTTTTCATCTTCCAACAGTTGATTAGTCCCAAAACCATCATTTGAGGATAAACTAAGTTTCTTCTGGTTTTCACTCATTCTCTCTCTGATCATCTCCTGGCTTAAAGAAGAGGAATGAGATGGTGCCTCAGGATGCATGTAAGAATGTCCATGGCGGGAAGATCCTTTGATCCGTAAAAAGTTGGACGGTAATTTACCAAGCATGGGCGGTTTCCATCCTCTCTGTATACATAATGGCACATCTGATCCACTGGCACCTAGGTTGTAAAGGCCTGACAATAGGTCTGGTTGACCTATACTTGAAGCTCCCATCAAGTCGCTGAGATCCTCTTGGAAGTTTGGATCATTTCTGCAATAACAAATTGAATTATTGAGATTAAAAAAATGAATAATGAATGAATGTCTAATAAAATTATGACATTATGACTTGATTACATTGAGCACTGTAATTTAAATTATTAATATGACTTATTCAGAGTTTCAAGGAAATATAAATCGAAATAATCCATTATTAATATATAAAGCGAAAAGGTCTATATTGAGATTTAAAAAAGTAATTATTGACTGGTGATTTTTTGCTATCAATTAATTTACCCCTCACAAGCAAATGATTTTCAATATCCTGTTTAAAATGAAAAAAGACTTCAACTGACGTTTTTTTTCTTTATTATTATTATTAAACTTTTTACCCATTAACTCATTTTTCCTACAGGTTTAAAGGGAATATAAGTTTTTTTTTAATAAAACACAAGCACTTTAAAAATATACAGTTACTTACTTGACTGCTTGATTGTATGATGGTAAATTGTTTTGGTATGAGGGGGGAGGTGTTTCATGTTCCTTTGTGGTATCCTGAGTAGTTTCTATGTCTGCTGTCATAGCCAGAAGCTGATCAATTGTTGTATCAACAGCTCCACCATTAGATCTAAATAAAATAATATTTTAAGCAAAGAGAATAGAATATATATGAGGGGAATTTAGAAAATCCCTAGGTATGAATTTTTTCGGCCCCTTTCAGTCTGAAAGGGAGTTCAATGTGTACAAATCATGTAAATGTTCAAAAATCATATGCAGTAGAGTACATTAATACAGTATGTTCTCTAGACTATCCATTTCAATTGCGAATTTTTTAAAGCTGTTAAATAAACTTTATAAAATGAATTAGGTGAATAAAAACATCATTTGATTTATAGTTATAACGGAAAATCATCGTTTGTAAACTGAAAGGCATAGAGTCTATGTGAAATGATCATTGGTCAATTATAAAACCAGCTTATTTCATAATTTGGTTTTCTTTTAATATTAATTTTAAAATTTCTATGAAATGATATTCCAGGGCCCAAAAGGTTATATAGCACAAATATGTGAAATACACCTGCCCTGCAGTATGGAAACAGTACAACAAAATGGCCGTTTTACACTTTTTCTAGTAAATTCCCCTCTAATATATATTCTTTTCTCTTTGATTTTAAGGGATTATCCACATGATCATCCAGAAGGGATTGTGATAGCATAGGCCAAGGAGCTATTGGACACCTCCCTAGTTTCTTGACTTGATATAATAGGCAGAGCATTTTAATTCTAGAGCCACAGTGTTTAAATTTTTAAAATCATCATTCCAAAAATTTAAAATAAAATATGATAAGCTATTTACTGTTGTTTTATTCTGGAAGATTTAATAAAATTTAATAGTTTAAAATAAATTATGTTGATATTGATACACTTCTAGGTTAAACTTAAAATCTATTGTTTATGAAAAAAATATTTTCTATACACTAGTTTATATGAATATTTTAATATATTATTATTTATACCTTAAAACTGCTTCAATGACATCTATGTCCATGTTAGGAAACATTATTTTGAAGTCTGTCATTGCCTGGTTAAATTCCAGTTGAGTTGCTTGGCTTGTTCTATCCCCCATGCTGATGTGCTTCCTCCCTCTGCTAGTGAATTCTTGTATATTGCAGTACCATTGTGTACATTAGGCCGGGTGTTATTGATTGCTGTCTACAGAAACCCTTCAAGTCATACGATAGAAGAGAGTTTAGTGTAGACGTCGTCCCAGCTCAGCTGTATTCTAGGAACATAGCTACAGACATTATTATACTTGATCAATAGAACACATTACGCAGTTAGAATTGATAAAAGGGATACTAAGGGATACACCGAAAGGTAAAAAAGGGGGGTGGGGAAATGTAATAATTAACCCCTCAAATTATATTCACACCCCCCCCCCCCCGTGAAATATTAGGAATCCTATATTTTAGAGAAAACAATTACACAATATGATTATGAAATTAAAAATTTGGAAAAAGAAACTAAGGAAATCAGGAAAAAAGTTGGAAAAATAGATAAGGTGAAAAGAAATGGAAAAGAGTTTCCTTGGAAAAGAGTTTTGAGGCTAGAGTGGAGGTGAGTGGAGATGAGTGAGAAATAGTTGAAATGAGTTTGGAAAAGCATGCGGTAAAAAGTGGCAGAGCTAAAACCATTACAAATTGCCCTCATTTTTATTTTGAAAAAAAAGTATTAAAAGTGGGAAAAGCGGTGGGGAAGATTTAGTAAGAGTGGAAAAAAATAGATGAGAGTGGAAGAGACGGGAATATAGTGGGAAGAAGTGAGAATATGATTGGTTAAAAACGGTACATATAATGACTGGTTTATCATTTGTTCTTCTGAACAAATCTTGTTTTTCTGCACCAGGTTAAAAACGGTACATATAATGACTGGTTTATCATTTTGTTCTTCTGATGAACAAATCTTGTTTTTCTGCATCAGGTTAAAAACGGTACATATAATGACTGGTTTATCATTTTGTTCTTCTGAACAAATCTTGTTTTTCTGCACCAGGTTAAAAACGGTACATATAATGACTGGTTTATCATTTTGTTCTTCTTCTGAACAAATCTTGTTTTTCTGCACCAGGTTAAAAAATGTCAGATATTATATATTTTAAATATTTACCTATGCCTTTTTCAGACTAGAAATGTATTTCCCAGTATGCATTTTTTCTTTGTTGTTGACTTGTGGTTTATCTATGTCAACAGAACAGGTTTCAGGTCAGTTTGGAAACTTGTTGAAAACCACATTTAAAAAAAACTCCGGTTTGCGCTGATAGATTTGACTATTTTGGCCATATCATTGTTCTGTTAATTAATTTTCATGTCTTTGAATAATTCCTTGTTAGCAGTCCTGATTTCTAATTTTACGAAATATTTTTAATGAATATTTTTACGTAAAAAATAGCCTAAAAGGATTGAATTGTTTTACCATAGATAGTGATGGTTTGTTTTTTAATTTATTATGGACCTTTAAAAGGTAACCCATTTCAACAACATTTCAAAGTTGTATTTTTATTATTTTATTTATCTTAAAAAACGGTTATTTTAAACCGATAGTTTTTGGTGTTTGGTTTGTTTTATGCATATTTTTCTCTCAGTGTCAAAATATGTCAAAGTGCATTGTAAGAACATCAAAACTTCTCATTTTTGTGGAACCTTTTTAAATTCCCAAAACTTTTAAACTTTAAAAACAAACCAAGCACATATGTCCTCAGAAAAACCAGGCATATCAATATTTCAATGAAGATACCAGTGCATATTATTCTAGCATCCTGTATGATATTGGATTTTTTTTATTATAAATATTACTTAAAAATTAATGGGTTTGGTTTTTTTTATGGCTTTTAAAAAATCGTTTAAGTCGGACATAATCCAAGTTTTGTAACAGAACATGTTTTTAAATACATGAAGCTTGTAATATTGCTTGTGAAGCTCCAAACTTTGGAATGTTTTAAAAACAGATTAATTTCTAAACTATGCCAAACATAAGATGTTACAGGTATGTCTCCAGTCCTTGGAGAACCTGTTCTCCATTTCCATCAAGTTAACTCTGCTGATCAGCAGAACCAGAAATCAAAGGTAAGTTCTGAGAACTTAAAAGAACTTAAAATGGTATCCTTGATGTTAGGTTAGATCTCCAGCAACTTCCCCAGTCACAATTTTCCCGGGACATCTTCCCCAACAACCAATTTCCCCAACAGCAACTTCCCCAACAACCAATTTCCCCAACACGAATTTCCCCATGCAGTAAAACAGCAACTTTCCCAAGAACTATTTCCTCATGCAGTAAAATATCGAATCTTTCCGTTTTTAACATTATTCCAATGAACAAATGCGCAATTTTAAAATAAAAAATTCTTGCTTATAAGAAGCAATGGAGAAATATTTAGAATTAAACACTGTTCGAGGCAGGGAAATGACGATATCATCTGGACATCAATTGATCGGATTTAGGTTCTCAAGGGTACTTTGTAAACAGGGCAATGCCATCTTTGCAAGGAGGATTACTTTCAATTACGCTCAAGTCCCTTTAACATTTAAAAAATGTTTGAATTTCCCATCAATTCTGTAATTGCAAGACAATAGCACTCTATTGTTTAGGTTCAAAATCAGCAATATCCTCAGGAAAGATCCATTGAACTGGTTTCTATTGGTTGGATAGCTGCTGGAGGTTAAATTATATATTATTTAATTATTTGCAAACAATTTTATTCAGTGAGAAACATTCAACTCTGGAAAAGAAAGACGATTTTTAGACTAAAGTTATCACCATAAAAGCACAGCAATTGTAATCAGAACCATTTCACTTAGTTAGTTTAGTGGTGCTATGTAACAACATTAAATACACTTAGTTATTACTTTGATGCTGTCTTCCTTTTCCACAGTTTTCTAGTTTTCACGGTATGGAAACGGTATAATTGGAAAGCAGAAATCTGTATTTTTCTGTCCAAGTTTGTATTCAATAAAAATGTAGATGTCTGTACTGCAACAACGCCAATAATCAAATCACACAAAACTCTTCTTTAAGGGCATTTCTTACTTATTTTTTTTTTTATTGTTGGCATCATATTATGATCCGTTTTTTTAACATACAGGAACTTCTGCCGTTCATCTTGTTGGCTCCGCAAAAAACCTACATTAATTTGGTGTAGATACAATTTTTTTTAACCAAAGATAAAGCCATGAAAAAACAAATTTTTATAAATCAGAGCTAATGTTTCGCATGAAAGAAAACGCAAATTTCAGAACATTCAATTTGAATGCAAAAAAGCTTAATTTTGAGAGAGGGAAAAAAACCCAACATGAGAATTAAATCTGATGATATAGGCATGCTGGTTTTTGCATTTGTGAATACTATACTGCTTGGAGCTACTGTTATGATAACCTTCAACATTTTCCAATGGCTGCTCAGTAAGTTTTTTACTCAAATGATTAAGTTTAATTTTTCTCAAATACTTCATTTTCAAACCGAAAAATTTTCGTATAAAAACTGGATTGGAAATATTACAAAAGGAAAACTGGATTTTTAAAAAATTTTAATGCCTCTTCTTGTTTTGTTGTAAATGACATTGACCTTGACTGAAATAAAGATGATTCAATGCAAGGTAGTACAGAGTCCCATATCATATTATATTACTGTTTTAACGTCAAAATAAACCCATAATACTCGAAAAACCTCGCATTTTCCACAAGAAAATTCATAAATTAGCCTTATTCAATTTTTCAAAACAATTAATTCCTCTTAAAGTTTCTGATTAGTCCTGAAAAAGGTAATTTAGACCGATTGACGATCTAATATGATGTGGGTTACCCTGTATAATAAGGTTGGTTACTCTCGATGCACTCCAATGTACGGAAAAGGTTTTTCTTTAGATAAAAAGATTTTTAAAAAACCTAATATGGCCTCACTGATGATAGAGGCGAGAGTGACTTTTTATCTAGTATCTATCTTAGGAGAACACATATTCCATATATTGGAGCCCATTGAGAGTAACCATCTTGATTATACAACCTTCTTGATTCCATGGAAGGGGGGTGGGGGTGCTTTCACACTTTCTGACACCAAATTTTGTACAGTCTGTCCGAAAAATTGGGATAGAAGGCTGAAGTTTTGCATGCAGCCTCTAATTTTGGTCGTCTACATGGATCATGAAGAAAATTTGAGATCGGGGGTCATTGACCTCCATTTTGACCTCCATGAATTCAGAAAATATGGGAAAATACCACTTTTTTCCCTGTAATTCACTTATTTTAAGTTAATCAGACCTTCATATTTTGACCTCCCGAGGTCATTGATATCTGGAGATCACGACCTTTATGATCATCTGAGGTTAAAAAGGTGTTTCAGAATGGAATCGGAACACCCAAAAACCTGTGATTTGAAACCTCACATGACTTATTTTCATTGATTTCATATTTTGACCTCCCGAGGTCATTGATATCTGGGAGATCACGACCTTTATGATCATCTGAGGTTAAAAAGGTGTTTCAGAATGGAATCGGAACACCCAAAAACCTGTGATTTGAAACCTCACATGACTTATTTTCATTGATTTCATATTTTGACCTTCAGAGGTTATTGATATCTGGAGGTCACGACCTCCAGGATCTCTGAGGTCAAAAAGGGGTCTCAGAATGGAATCGAAACACCAAAAAACCTATGATTTGATACCTCACATGGCCCATTTTCATTGATTTCATATTTTGACCTCCAGAGGTCATTGATAACAAAAAATGTGAAAACATGCCTGATTAACTTAAAACAAGTGAATTACAGGGAAATAAGTGGTATTTTCCTATATTTCCTGAATTCATGGAGGTCAAAATGGAGGCTAATGACCTCCGATCTCAAATTTTCTTCGTGATCCATGCATAGCGCAGCCTGTACAAAATTTGGTGTCACAAAATGTGAAAACGCCCCCCCTTTAATTCATGTAAATGCAACGATAAATGCAACCTCACAGAAGAGTCATTTTTAGATTTTTTACTTTTAAACATTTTTGATAAAAGATTTTATATTTTTCTAAAGCCTGCAGTTTATTCTAAAGGTTTTGATATTTTTCTAGGTGCACTTGCATTGGTGGCGCCAGCATTTGCTGCTACAGTTGCTCCATTCTTTGCAGGTAGTTTTGGTAAATTTTATCTAAATTAGTTTAGAGGACTTGAGAATAAATTTCAAGTTATTCAGGCATAAGTTTAATGGGTACTATTGTGAATCAGGAATGTAAAGGTGCACGTGGACAGTCCCTTAAAGATATTTTTCAGTTTTTTATTCTTGCAACATAATTCTTTTTTGTATTTATAAAGTTTTATTATTATAGCGGTAACAGCTCCTTTGCTTGCAGCAGCTCCTGCCTTTGGTTAGACAGCGGTCACTAAGAACTTTGATGACAAAATGCTCAAAAGAATTGTAGATATAGTGCAGACAGCAGAATGTGTAAAAAATCTATCAATTTTCCTCTTTAAATGCATTTCTAGTCGGAAAAATATTAAATTTTATTTATGAATTTTTAATAAACTTGTCAACAGCTGATTATTTGATAATATCCCTCATTTTAAGTTATCTGAATAATCACCTAAGAGTTTTTAGTATCGAGTTGAAGTTTCTGGGTCGGCACAATTGTACTGAGAACGTTATGTGGAATTTTTTTTCCGTGTCAAAAGAAGTTTTATCATAAAAAATCTTGTAAAAATTTAAACCAACCCTTAAGTCATACTATGATGACAGGTTTGGACACTTGTATTAAAATACTCAGTTAAATCCTGTAATACTTTAAGACCCAACTAAAGCTTGTGATATCACATTTTCCTTTCTTTTACTTAGGAAATCATTAAGAAGATTCTAATTGTAATTGCAATTCCGATACTTAAAATAGTTTCAGAAATTAATTATTATAAAATTTTAATGATATATCAAGATAGAACGAAGACCATATCATTCTTGCGTTTTTGGTCACACCTGTTTTATACAAATTGTTTTTGCTGCGATGTTCAAGTCATAGAAACGATTACGATAAATTATAAGTTTATAAGGCTGTCGTTGTTCAGGAAAAAAAAAACTAAAGAAATGGGTCGTTCAGACAAATGAAGAAATGCTCAATTTTAAGAAACGAATGAAAATCGTTCTAACAAACTTGAATAACTAGTGATAACAAAAAAACTTTGAAATAGGAAGACGACTTTTAAAATTAAATTAAGACTGACAGTCCAGTGGGCAGTGAGCACGGGAAACAGAAATTATTCAGTGTAAACAGACAGACGCATTTCACTTGAATTGTGATTGAATAAGTGTCTAGTAAAATTATTTTCTTTATAACATCAAATACACTTACGTATTGCTATAAAGTCGTCTTCCTATTTCGGAGCTTTCTGGTTATGAATATCGTTTTTGACTGAACAAACAAATTTTCCACAAGATACGGAAAAAACAGGTTTTTACCTAAAAGATTTTTAGTACAAATGTTTTGATAAAAATGCATTTTTACTGAACAAATGATTCTACTGAACTTCGTTTCAGTGAGAAAATGAATGAAATGGATGGAAAATGAACGATACCTTAAAGAACGAATGAAATAAATTTTTTCTCAAGATTGAAAAAAGAACAAAATGAGAAAAAGCTGAACGTGTCTATCTCTAGAAAGAGTGACAAATGGTGATATTGTGGTCATGGTGGGTGATTAATAAATCATATAACACTTAAAAGCAGTGGCGGATATAAGGGGGGTTATTGGGGTTATTTACCCCCCCCCTAGAATCCTGGGGGTAAATACCCCCCCCTAGAATCCCGGGGGTAAATACCCCCCCCTAGAATCCTGGGGGTAAATACCCCCCCCTAGAATCCTGGGGGTAAT